TTTTTCTGGCTACATTCACAACCACATCATAGTACTCAGGGAAATTTTTTATTAAATCACAGGCTTTTTTCAAAAGGGATAACTTTTTAATATATCCAGGTCCTGAAATCTGGTTCCTGTTTGGATTTGGCCTGAAATTTGTAAATGCCACATTTTCAGTATAAAATCAAATGAGGTGAAGCAAGACAAGAAGGTTAAGTAAAAATTACAAAGAACAGAGATACTTGATAAAGTTTGATAGGCATTGGATACCTAGAAATCTCTGCATCAAAAACAGTGAAAAGAAGCCACTCCAGACAATGGGAGAAGTGAGGTTTCTCTGCCGATAATTGTGCTAAGAGTAACGCCTCTTCATTTTTATCTCTCTGTCCACAATATGAGAAAAACAGAATAAAGATTCTGAAAGAATAAAAATATTCGCAAGGGAGAAATGAATAAAGGAAGAAAGAAGAGATCATTCTAACTTAAGAAAAGAGAAGCCAGGACCAACAATACCTGAAGGAGGTGGCGGAGCAGGCAATGTAGTATAGTCTGAGCCTGGGGTGTAGGCTCAAAACAGGGAAACTCTGCGCTAGCCGAAAATGACATTCTTTGAGAAACTCCGACAACGACACCCACGTTTGGTAAAAGTCCCAAGGGATACACCTCACGATCAAATTCCAACTCTGGATCCAACTGAAGAGTGGAACATAATAAAAATGCACAAACAATTATGTTATAGACAATAAAAATCAGAACAAAAAGACAAGCTACCAATGGTGGTGAAAAATGGACTCAACTAGCATGCATACCTGCAGGAAATCCTCTTGCATAAAAGGATCATCCCCTAGAGAAGGATACCAAACCTGTAATATAGAATCTCATTGTTAAAAAATTTACGAAAGACAGGGATCAAATAGAGAGTTACAGTCAGACACTTTGGGGCAGGGCAACCTAGAAAAAAAAAAAAGTGGGCATAACAAGCAGCTTTGAAGCAGAAGAATTACCTGCATTCCTCGGTGTCCATAATCTAGCCAAGATACTTCCTCGACAAGATTTGTCTTCTCCTCCGATTGACCACATGTCACCCAAAATAGTTCAACTGAGTCTGTAAGTTCCCTCTCTCGTCCATCAACCAAATCAAGAAGTGAAAGCTCCCCGTTTCCCCTCAGTATAAGACATCTATGGAGACCACAAAGGCAATTAGAATGACAGCATAAACTGAAAGGATGTTCTACGTTATTGATGATTACCTTGAGGGTTCCCTGTCTGACAAATCAGAAGACAAATTATCATTATCCAACTCGCCTTCTCTCGGGTGCTGGTCAGGAACAAATCGCATTGCTGCTGGATGGCTCTTTGCAGTCATGATGGACAACTCTCTTACTGTGGAAAGCTGTTTGTCATTTAATCACTTTAAGGTGCATGAAAAGCAACTCAAGCGCTCACATTTGGAAGTTAAAAAGATATAATTTACTGGAAATGATGCAGAGAAGAAAATGAACCGCAATAACTAACTACCTGTAGATCTACTTTGCTTGAAGGTGTCAATTCGCCATATATCTTCACATGGTAGACGTGGATGACAAACGGAAGATAAGATACAAGTATATAATCCTGGTACACATCCATCACCATTGGTTTGCCAAGCAGCACTTTACGACAAAGTAAAGAGCTCTGATCAAGGTGATATCTTGGATAGAAAAGCAGTTCATATCTACAATAATTGCGAACATACACGTGAAATTAAACAATATTCAAAGACAAAATGCTCAGAAACGTTTATCACAATAATGTTATGTAAAAAATCTGGAAGAATTGCAAACACCATTCTACCAAAAGGCACTTTCTCTTCTTTGTAAACATTAATAAATATAGCCAGAAAACCATGATTAGAAACTAATAATATAGATCGGGCCTTACGTCTCAGAAGCTTCGATGTAGTTACAGATTACGACTATCTTCCCCAACCATAACAAACCCTTGCAATGAATCTGTTGTTCTTGACTGACATCTCCAAATACCCTCCACTTCTTAAACCTAACGTCATACAAAATCAGGCCATGTAAACCAGCAACCGCCAAGTATTTTCCATCCTCGCTAGCTGCCACATGTTGAACAGGCCAATTTTGGGTAATATAAGAAACCTGGACCAAGAAAACATATATAAGAAATTTATTTCGAAAGTGATACGATGAATAAACAAAAGTGGATAACGGATATGTTGATACTCAACTGGAAGTTTTAGATGTAAAAGCTTAAGCTCGTCAGTGTCCTCCGCCTGAACCATGAGTAGTCTATCATCACCATACATTACCTGACGAACATAAGTTTTTCCTGAAACTCCTCTATTTAAGCAACATTTCCCAAAAGAAAATGCAAGAATTCTATCACTTGATGCCTCCTCTGTAGCAAATAGTCTATATCCATATTCATCCCACTGGATGGCTGAAGTACCATTCATCAGTGGTTCGTATTTACTGTCTTGTTTTGGATTAATTTTAGGGGAAGATGTAGAACTCAATCCAATTTGGCGGACAGTTGACATCAATCGACATCCAGAAACAGACCAAACTGCAAGTCCTCTCGACTTCCACCCAACTGCAAAAGCAGAATTATCAGGCGTCCATGCAATGTTATTGACAGGCCCAGTGTAATCGGCTGAATAACTGCAAGTTTCAAAACAGCGTTATCAACCATGTACCCAAAATATCACGGGCGTGAAATAAACACAAGAAATAAAATTGAAAATCTTGAATAGATCAGCTTAGTTAAACTGGAATAAACCATTCAGCATTGCCTACCGAAGGCGTATAAACTTCCAGATATAGCATAATATTATGGTCTTTACACAACACCAGAATAAAACTACTCAGATATAGAGTAATACCCAAACCTTTCAAAACTAATATTAAAAAATAAACGTTCAACACAAAATAGTAACAAGTTACTTACCCCCAGTCATGCAAAGAAACTGTTCGTAAGAGAGAGATCGATTGTGACAGATCGTATAATTCCACCATCCCTTTTCTTGTACCCACAGCAAGAATTTGTTGCTCTGAAGCCACTGATGCACAAACAGCATCACCACCCAACTTCTTCTCAGCTTTAATGCTCTCAGTGTACTTTAAACCTTTCTTATTCACAGAGCATACTACTAGCTGCCCATCAGAATTTAACACAAACAATAACTTCGAGCGAGTGCAGAGTTCCAGCTGAACAATAGCCGATTTTGTTGAGAATTCATCATCAGATGCAAGTGCTGCTGAAGCTACTCCAGAGACTAGCCCATTACCAAGAGAGTAGGACAAGAGTCTATCATCGTTGCTATCAGAAGGGTGGGAGCCAATACTGAAAGCTCCACCAAACTACAAAGACAAACAAAAATTTAGAAATCAGGAATCTTGCACAAAGAATTCAAAAACCCCAAGAAGAAACTATGCAGATGAAGCAGATCTAAATTACCTCTCCTTTCCAGGAAATACTATATAAACATCCATCAGAAAGTCCCAAAAGCATAGTTTTGCTGTCCCTCACAAAATTGCTCCTGCACAGAGTGAAAGAATTGGCCTCACATTTCTAATCCCAGAACATTGACTGTGTAGACTCATACGGGCACGTACAGAAAAAGCACTTACACAGACAAGTCCTTCCCAGCAAAAGGGACCTGCTCACTTAGCAAAAGAGATATGGTCGCAAAAGACAACTCCGAGGGTTGTCTCTCTCCGGGTTTTACTCGTTTATCAGTAAACTTAATTTTATATATATGAAGGAAGAATGATGATGTCTGCAGATTAAAACCAAGAACAAAAAGAAAATGGTGAAAAGACATACAAGTGTGATAACAAAAACAGGTATCTTGATTAAACGATTCAAACAAGATACTAGTACTGAAATGAGAGGCGTAAGCTGAATGTTTGATATCATCAAGCTCTCAATATTAAAAACATGTTTTTTGCTCATTCTAACTACAATCTGGTGAAGATTCAAATAACTAGATTCTGTATACCAAATCAAGAAATTCTCAGCTAAGGAAGAAAGTAAGAACTTACAAGAAGAGCAATCAATTTGGAGTCTGGACTCCACACAGCTTGCAAATTCTCTCCTTCTTCTCGCACCGACCTGTCATCTCTCATATACTTTCCCAACCTCACTCGTTGCTAATTCCGGAAATTGAAATTCAAACAAAAAAGCTATAAGTTAACGAACTCTAGACTCCAATTACGAATCACAGTGACGAAATGCAGCTATGATGATAAAGCAAGCACCTGAGAAGAACCCCAAAGCTCCAAGTGAGACGGAGAAACAACCAGCAATAGCCGGCCGGCGAGCTTAAGGTACACGACTCGCTGAGAAGACGGACACGATCCTTCTAGAAGCGGGATCACCTGCGGCCATCCGTAAGCCATATACATCTTTGGCTATATCTCTTCTCCTCAAATGAAACTCTAATCCTCCTTGCCTATATCTCTCTATCTCTCTATCTCTACAATGGATCTGATTGATTCTGATGAGAAGAAATTACAGACTCTGTTCATATTACAGAGATCATTGAAACATTTTGTTGGAAAAAACAATTGGAAGAAGATGGATCTCGCAGATCCATACACGGAGCATCAAAATTTGGAATGCTGAAAAACCGACCGGTTTATAATGATCGGATTTTAATTTAATCGGTTTTTAAGTGTTGTACATGAAAACCGGATTTGTAAATGATGCCGTAAACAACTAAACATAATGGGCCAATGGGCCTCCTTTTTTCTTTTGACATGGCCTCCGGTGATGATATTCTCACGGTGGTTTCACCATAATCTGGTCCGATCATGTTTTAATCGATTTATAAACGATTTGGTAATTGAAACTAAAAATATTGATTTGGTAATTCAATACCATATATTATTTTTTTTATCCTTTTCGAGAAAAATTTTGCGTTGTTTTTATCTTTCTACAGTTTAATTATTATCGTTATTGAAGAAAGTTTTCTTTGTGTGCATTGCAACATCTGAAGAAAGTCACACGTCTAATAAATAGCTCATTCATTGGTGCTAAAGAGGAACTTATAACTACCATTATTCTTGATACAAAAAACAAGAAAAAAAAAAAAAAACTAACTAAACTAGCATTATCCAATACAACTAAAGTAAAATGATGAAAAAAGTCAAAACAGATAGGTGACCTCCTTTAGAGCCGCATCGACCATTTTGTTGGAGGTTTTGATAGCATCATCGATTCTCCCAGCCTTGACATAAGCATCAATGATTGTTTTGAAAGTGGTAACGAAAAGTGAATCAGTAAAGAGAGACTCTGCTTCCGACAACATGCCATATTCGCAACACCTTGTGATAATGTATTCCTTACCTAAGAGATTCTTATCCTTGGCTCTCGCCTTGGCCTTGCTGTAGGTATCGATTGCCTCGCTACACCGACCCATATCAAAACACTCTTCCACCATTATCTCAACCGTATCAGAGCCCAAGCGTCTGTTATCGGTTCCACTTTGATCTAATATTTCATGGTACAAAGCCCAAGCATGTTTTTTCTCACCGTATTTGAGGAGGACTTTCAAAAGGGCGTTGCCAGTTTCTGGGCAAACCGGTAACTTGTTTGCTACTAGTATAGACTGGTGGTAGCACTCCATAGCTTCCACCTGTTTACCTTGCTTAAACCAGTATTCCATGAATGTGGCCATCAGGAATGCCACTCTGTTTTCATATCCAGGATACTCTGAACAGAGAAAATCATACGTAGACTTGCAACTAGCAATACCAGAAGAAAACAAGCGTTTGAATTCGTCCAAGACTAGATTCGCCTTGTCTAAATTCCCAAGATCCAAAAACCCGCGAATCAGATTGTTGTACGCCACGTGATCTGGGTAGGTTGTGACTGTCTTGGCCTTAAGCAAGGCTTCGGCTTGGTCCAGCCGACCGTAGTGGACTAAACCTTTGGTCAATACCCTGAACGTATCGTGGCTTGGGTAGTCGTGGACCACACTGGACTTGATGGATCGGTGGAAATCAAGAGCTTCCTCAACAAGACCTTGTTGGAAACGGGACTCGATGATGTGGTTGCAGCAATGGCTGTTGGGTTTGAGCTTATGCTTGTTGAAGAAGAAATCGTAGAGATCGTAAGCGTCCTTGTGCCTTTTATCCCGCAACATGCCTCCGATGATGTGTTTACATGTTGTTGCTGTGTACTCCGAGTTGATTCTTGTGAAGACAGCCAAACGGGCGTACTTGGCCGCCGTGTCTAAGTCGCCAACAGAGTTGACCAAGTACGAGACTCTCAAGCATAGATCCGTAGGACGGCAATCTGGGTTTGATAATATGTCCTCAGCTCTTCTTGGCACGGTGGTGCAGAAGCGCCGACCATGAATGAGGCGGCGGATCATTAGAGGCAAGCAAAACGACGGCTAACTAACTCTAGAGAAAAATTCAAAGTAAATTAATTTATTTAAACGACGTCTAGGGTTTTGGACGAAACATATATATTATTGTACAGTACTCCTTAGATTTTCCTATAAATCGTAATAAGTACAAAAAAAAGTTTAGGTAAGTACATTATTACTCAATTAATGTCCGAATCTAATCTATCTTCTATATATACATTTTTGGAGCACAATTAGCAAATAAATCCTGGAGTTGGGAAGTATTTACAACTTATGCCATTGACATTTATTATTAAGTTACAAAATTTAAATAAAAGATATTAACCAAACGATATCTTCAAAATCTCTATACAATATTTCCATATATCTTCAAAAAAAATTTCCTGAATTTTACTCTACAAAACTAGATTTGAACCCGCGGTACACCGCGGGGCTATAATTTTTTTTAAAAAAATCTAAATATAATTAGTTTTGTTTATTAATAGAGAATATAATATAATATTTCGACCTATTTTATAAATATACCATCCATATATCTATATTAATAGTTTTTAGTATATTAATTGTGTTTTAGGTTTAAATGGTATATCTATATATACACTTAAACGACATTTGGCTTTCTTCTTCTTCTTGCCTCAGTTTAGGAGAAAAAATTTTCTTGCGGTACACCGCGGAGCTATTATTTTTTAAAAAAGATTTTTCTTCCTTAAATTTTCTTGCGGTACACCGCGGGTCAATTTTTTAATAACTAAAAAATTATTTTGCAAAATTTTAAATTGTATTTGTTTTGTTAATATTGTTTATTTTGTTTAGTGTTTCTGATTTTATAATTAAATTTTTATTTTTAATTCTAGGATTTCATCCATAGTATATTGTTTAATATTAATATTGATCTAAACCCGTTGCACCATATAACCCCGTCCCGTAAAATTAAACATCATTTGTTATTTTTTTTGAATAATATTTTTATCCACTACGGGTCGCAGGTTCATGCGGATAAGCCCGTAGAGAGTTGCGGGTTTGCGGGTCGACCCGCCAAAAGATAAGCTATCTTTTGAAACCCTTTGTTTTGTTTAGAGGTTTTAAGAAAATATCCCTAAAAAATAATTTTCATTATATGAAAAAAAAGAAGTAGAAGAAATTATAGTATCAACATTCTCGATTTTTACATCACTCGTTACAATTAATTTTTTTTTTTGTAGATAAAAATCAGAAGTTAACTAAGTCGAGATTTTTAAAAAGATTGTTTAGAGATTTTTGGTAAATTGTTGAGAACATATTTGATTTCAAAATCTTTACTTAAATAGATAAGGAAATATTTTATAGAGACTTTTGCTAAATATATGAGAAATGAATTTTAATTAAAAATCTTTACTTAAATAAAACAAATCTAAATAATTAATGCTAATGGCATATCATTGTAAATACTTCTCAACTTCAGGATTTATTTGCTAATTGTGATCCAAAAATGTATCTATAGATATGCATAAATCCGATTTATAGCAAATATTTATATTAAAATTTTGCATAGTAATAAAAAATACTAATTTATAATAATCAAAATATTCACATAGAAAAATCATATACACATACATGAAAAAGAACTATATATATCATCATTTAAGCCGTTGGTTTATTTAAATAAATAAAAAACACAAAAAGTTGAATTTATTTACTTTATATGATAAATTTAAAATATATATTAGTAATATAAATTTAAAATCATTCAAGGAACGGTATACCACGGGTGAGATCCTAAAATTATTGGATTTTATAATAATAAAAATTTATTTTCTTGGATTTTATAACACTAATAATTTAGCTAACTGGATAATATAGATGATTTATATGGGATGACGGGTTTGGATCGATATTAATAAAGAACAGCTTATCACGGATGAAATCCTAAAATTAACAATCAAAATACAATTATACAACCTTAAACACAAAACAAAATATACAATGTTAACAAAACATATAACCTAAAATTTAAAAAATTAAGTTATAAAAAAATCGACCCACGGTGTACTGCGGAGTAAAATATTCAAAATTTTAAAATCTACCATACATCGTTACTTAAAAAATGTATGTTTTCGAATCTATACTTCAAAAATTGAAACCTAAATAATAGTAATCATACACTAAATAATACATAGATAGATATTTACATTTAAAAATACAAATTAATATGATATATTTTCAGTTAATCTTTTAAAAAAATAACATTACATTTTTAAAAAAAATAATAGCCCCACGGTGTACCGCGGGTTAAATTCTAGTTATATATTACTTGTATATAAATTACATTAGTCAATTAATGTTCGTTTGAAACAATTTAAAAAAACTTTTAAAATAGTAGATGGTAAGTTGATATCCTCAAAAAAAAAATCTCTGTGAAATAATATCCCATTCGAGGAAGCTATAACTAATACAATTGTTGTTGAGCTTTTGTTTTTGTAATAACAAAAGATGAATTTTGAAAGTTAAAAAGAAATCTAGAGTATGTATAAGTAAAAATATATATATATATATATATAATTATATATATATGATTAGAGTCTTCCTCTGGGTCAACATAACGTCTAAGAAAGTGATGAAATCCAAAGCACCATTACATATGGGAATTTGATTAAATCTACCACTTTTAGAGATGTGGCATTCCAAAAAAAAAAAAAAGGAAATTTATGTGGCGTGATGAATAGAAAGCTTTCTGAGATTAGAAATCTTCATCTTGTTCAAGGTCTTGATAGCATCATCGACTCTCCCTAGCTTAACATAACCATTGATCATTGCTCTGAATGTTGAAACGTCAGGTCCTGCCAACAAGTCATCACCGTATACGTCGGTAAACATGTCGGCAAAGAGTTTCTCTGCCTCCAACATGTTTCCTTGTTGGCAGAGACTCGCGATCATCGTTCTATAACACGTTCTCCTAACTCGCTCAAACGGTATAGTCTTTTCAGCGAAAAAACCCTCCTTGGACATGATTATGCCAACCGTCTCGGAATCACAGATTTCTATCATATCTATGAACAATTCCCAGGCCTCTGTTTTCTTACCGTGCTCCACAAGACATTTCAAAACTCTGTTTCCGGAAATGGTGTTGAGCAATTCAGCATGTTCGAGAGTTGCGAAAATCTCCATAGCTTCCTCGTCTTTGCCTTGCTTGAACCAGTAGTCCATAAACGAAACGTTGAAGATTGCAATCGCCTTGTGATAGTCTCGCCATGGAAGTTTACTATTCGGTCCTTTCAATTCCTCAAAGATTTGGCTAGCCCTTACGAATTTGCCTATATCCAGAAACCCGCGAATTAGAATGCCGTAGACGGTGAAATCACAGCGGCTCATGGATCTCACTAAATCACAAGCTTCATCGAATCTTTTAGCATCGACCAACGCTTTCGTGAGTATCCTGTACGTCTCGATCCCAGGAGCTAAACTCCCGTCGAGCAAAATGTGGCGGTAGAGCTCAAGAGCGTGGTCGACGCTACCTTGGTCGCAGTGTGCTTTGATGATGAGATTGCAGGAGAGCATGTTTGGGAGAGTCTGCGACTCGTTGAAAAAGTAATCGAACAGAGAGATGGCTTCGTCGTACCGTTTGGCGCTGCACATGGCGCCGATTACGGAATTGCAGATAAAGACGGTGTCTCTGTCGACTCGAAATTTTTCCAGGACAGCGAGGCGCGAGAGCTTCGAGGCATTGTCGAGATCAGACATCTCGATCATCGCCGTGACTCTGTAGCGCAGAGAAATTGGGCGGCGATCGATGTAGCTGGCCGTATCAAGCTTGGGGAGTGAGGAAGGATCTCTTCCGAGTGGGTAAGGAACGAACGCCTTCTTCGTAGCCTTTGCAACGGAGGGATTCTGAATTACGCGGCGGAGGAGAGACATGGCGGATTCTGAGTTTAGTTAGTTTTAGGGTTCAGTTTTGAATCGAATTTAAACAAAGCAGAAAATCGGGTCTAATAGATAATATATCTAATGGGCCTTTCTTCGAAACCCACTACGTAACAAGTCGCATTTTCAGACCAGTCCATTTGGAATACTCAGTCGAAACCCACTTATTGTAACGATCCTTTCTTTCTTCCATCCATTGGTAATGAGTTGCTTGGACTTTACTTTACTTGTTAGAATCTTTCACAGCCTGCTTTGATCGTTTTCTTCTTCCACCAGTAGGTTTGGTCTTCAGGTTAAAGACACCTTTCATCAACGAGCTTATTGTTAGAAACAAACCGTAATCTTTATTATCAATGAAAAGAATTGATACAATTTGTCTCTCGAGGAGAGCTCTAGCACATCACCAGAACATTACTCTCTCTCTCTACAATGACCATACGTCACTGTTACAACAACAAACAATGCATAAAGCCTAACAAATGAGAAAACTATTCTTATATAGGTGTCATTATTCACACGTGCCAACATTAGTTTCTTCAAGCTTCTTCTCTCACATGTGTGGCTTCCTCTGCTTTCTTCTTTCTTGTATACACATTCCGTGGCTTATCACTTATATCCACAGATCGATCTCCCATGATCTTATCATGGTACATCTTGCTTCCTATCTCACATATCTCTTCCTCTACTTCTTCCAATGGCTCGTCAATATTCAACTTCAGTTCTCCTTTCCTAATAACCGTTACACCAAACCCATTCGCCTTGGCTTCTCTAAATGCATCCTGTATATGTTAAAGAGAACAAATTTGAATCGATAACAGAATCGATCTAATTAAAGTTTCTTCCTTGGTTAGATTCATTACCTTTGGTGGGCGCGCAACAATGAAAACGTTTCCAGTCCTAAGCATATCCAGATGAGCTTGAATAATATAACAAAGGTTTCTACAGTCAGCAGCGTTCTCAAAAGCAATCACGTGATGTGGTTTGGGTTCTAATTCGAGATCTGTTGCCATTTCCAATGTGTAGAATCCTACTTGTTGCTCTCCTTTGTCATCAACCGTATACAATTCAAGGCACTGAAACACACAAAAAAAATACGATTAGATTTTTAAGGATTCTGAGTTTCTGCAAAGTGCAAATGTTTAGCAAGAAAACATACCAGTACATGCAGAAGGTCCAACCACCATAGATAATCTTCTTCCTTATCTTTTCCATACTCGCGGTATTTGCTCATAACAGCTTGAGGACCAACAACTCCATCTCTCTCTTGAGTTTGTTCAGTTTCTTTTCCATGAAGTTCTTGTTTCTCTCTGGCAGCTTTTCCATTATATTATATCAGCTGCGTCTTTGATTTCGTCTTCTGTAATCCATCGGTCCAAGTCTTTTCCCATGTCTCTCATAACAGCTTTCACTTCTGGATCAGTCTCTGCATTGTAAAACTCGAGGAACCCACGTGACCATTTCTTCGTGTGCTGCCAATACTCCTTTCCTGATTTTTTACCAGGTCTAACAGAGCCATCACTTCCTTCTACAAGACTACAGCAATCTTTGGCTGGCTTGAGGTAATTTCAGATGAAGGGGTGAGAGTGTTCTCAGAGGAAGCAGACGCTGAGAATTCCTGATGAGAGCTCTGTTCTTCATATTTCACAGAAGATAAAGATGCAGCTTTTCCAGAAAACAATGCTTCACGACGTTCATGATAGTTATTGAGAAACTCGGGTTTCTTACCAAGCGAAGGCCCTTTCCATCTCGGTATGATCTTTTCTGGTGGATCATACACACTGATGCCATCTGTATAATAAGAGGAACAGAGATAACTGAGATATATTTTGACAAGCTGATTAACGCATAAACTGTGAATGTGAGATACTGAGAAAACTTAGTCTCAACCAAAGTTGTAGAGAAGATTACCTACTCCGTAGTCCAGGTTTTCAAATTTCAACGTTTGAGTGAATCCACTGATGCAGATGAGACAGTTTCTCATTTTCTTTCTCAACTTTCTTCTCCAAGCCTTTCAAGAACATAGCTTTTGCCTTCAGCATCAATCAGGTGAAATGGATCCCTACCAGCCAGCTCATTATCTCGAACAAGAAAGACAATGTCTCTTAGCTTTTCGTCCTTCACCCACTCAAGCTCATCATTATACTCACTGCGGTAAACTTCTGCACTTTCAGCAACCGTACCTGGCTCCTGAGTTTCTCTCTCTCTTGCGGCCATATAATTATCCCTAAATCCTGCTCTCATTTTTTCAACAACAGGCTCAAAATTCATGGTAATTTTTCTCTATCCAATTCTCCTTCCCTGATGGTTCTGCCTTCTCTATTTGTTCAGTATCACCAGAAGAACTTTTGGCTGATTTGAAAAAACTTGTTTTGCGCTCTTCTCTTTATTTGAAGAATCTCTTTGCTTGCTCGATCCCTTAACTGAGAGTTTTTGGTAATCATTCTTTTGGGGTTGAGAATCAACATCCTTCCCCAGCGGTTCAGAAGAAGCAGACTCAAGTGCAGATTTCAAGGTTCCGTTGACAGCTGCACCAAGGATTTTATTTTTATCAACCAATTCGTGTTCTCTAGCTACACCATGCTCTACGTCGCTCTGCTTTGGGAAGATTTCATCACTGTCTTGGGCTATCATCTGAGACGGTTCCTGAGTAAGCTCTTTCTCACCAGTGACCCGTGACTTACGACCAGTGCTATTATTCATCATACCTAATTGATCCTTATCACGAACTAGTGGTACCACATTACTCGCCTTTTCTTTGTCAGATGCTGCCATTTCATGACTAGGAGAACCAGAATCTCCTTGTATGGAGTAAGTAGCTAAACAGGCCATTTGGCTTGAAGATGAGGATAACTTGAAGAGGAAGCTTCTTAGGTTTAACCAAAGGTGTGGTTAACTAGAGTTAAAGTTAGAATGTATTAGGAGTTATCTAATGTGTTCTTAATTCTATTAGGAATAGGATTTATGTTTTCTTATAAATAGATGTAGAGTAAACATTCAAAGCCTTTCTTAAGGCCCAAGTTACATGAGGAGGTTAGAGTTATTGTAACTAGGAAAAACTAATACGAGTTTCCTATAAATACATATCTTAGGTTTTGATAAGTTTGTTTAGTCAAAGTATTCTTGTGTTGAATAATAGCTTTAGATTTCTCTTTAGAAGCTATGAATTTCTTAAAGTTTGTATCTTCAAAGATAAACCAACAATCCCTCGGTAATCCCTCTTTTTGTTTTTCATATTATATATTTTTTTCTTTCCAAAATTTTAATAAATTTATTTGTAATGTTTTAGGAAATGTTTTCTCTATTTGTCAAAAAGGTCGATTTAACTCTAATGGCCTCCGTAGGATGAGTTCAAAAGCCGAGCATCCCGAAATACCATTATTTATCCAGGTTACAATTTTATTACAAAATCTTTAAGGTATATATTCAGTTGGTATATATACATCTTGGTAACTGAATAATGTTCTTTTCTTACAAAATCTTTCACAGAAATTTCAGAGATTTGTTTCTATATATGAGAGCAACATTAAATATGGGATTAGTCGAGCCGCGTACATACAAGACTTGGTGATTGTTTCTCCTCCCTACTTCCTAAAAGATATCTATCGAGCAGCCAGCCTCAAAACAAACTGTGAGAGCCCTCCTTTGGAGCAGAGGTTGGATAAGTTGATGATGTATAATTTGGAACTTTTATGCTTTGCCTATGTTGGCGACCGAAGATCAGTGGTATCGATACTCTTGAGTCATGAGCATGCTGGTGACATCTTTTTTCATCCCAAGAGTCGAGAACTACACGGGTTAGCCATGAAGATGCATATGCTAGAGGATGAAATGAGCATTTGCAAAATCATGACCCTCTATTCAATAGAGGGATGCTCCCTGCAATCAATCGAGAATATATTCAGAACTTCGAAAACCAAAGGAAGACTGATATATAACCACATGATCTCGGTGTATGGAAAACACTATGCTGAGGATGCAGACCGGTTGTTTCTGGAGATGGTCAAGACAATTCGTCCCAATGGTTACACATTCAGGTACCTTCTCGAGGCATGGACGATAGCATGTGACCCAGAAAGAACTCTCAAAGTCTTTCAATCAATGAAGATTTATGGAGTTGAGCCTGACTCGGTTCATTATGGGGCAATTGTTGATTGCTATGCAAGGATGAGGACACCGTACTACATCCATATGGCGATCTTGTTTCTAAAGGAACATCCGATTGCACAGGGACAGTATGCGTTTAACACAATTCTGAACAGATGTGTCCCTCAGCAGATAGCTTCTTCAAAAGAAGAAATGGAAGAGATCGAGGAGACCATTAAACTTGCTCAAGATATGGTTGATCATTTTGATGAGAAGGGATTCATGTATGCGGTTCTTGAGAAAACATACTGGAGGCTAGAGAATCATGGGTTGAAGTGGCCTTGGACTGTTAGCAAAACAAGAGGAGAATGAGTAATAGGTGAAATAAATCTTCTCTGCCTTTTTGTTCTGCTTTTGTTTTTGCATTACCTAATTCATTACTTTGTAAGTGAGTTTCAAGTTTAACGCTTTCATAACTTTGTCACTAGAGTCTTCCTCTTTCAGATACAATTATCTTCTATTATCTTAACAATTTCATTGAGTGTGGCATATCATTATGTAGTTTAGATCTTTACCGACCAGATTTTCACATTGACTGAAAAGAAGGAATAATATTAGGATTCACAAATAGAAAAACATGACTCAATGATAAAGTTACACATTCCTAGTAAATTACAGCTACTTTCTACATATATATCTTTCTGCTTCAGTGATCAGTTTTCGTATATTGTCCATAGAGAGGTGTTTGTCGAACTGTAGTCTTTTAATGGCAGCTGGGAATTTGATTGTCGAACACAGAAATGTTAAAAGCTGAAAAAGTCATAGCTTGTTTTAGAGCAGCTACCAAATCTTGTATGTTAAAAGCATCATATATATCAAGCTCCTCAATTATGTACCTTAGAGAGCATCTTTCCAAGATACTCTAAGCCCATTCTGTCAGATAATCTCCAAACATTTAGAACACTTAGGCTGTTAAATATTCACTCACCAATATTTAGTGAGATTCTCATATTTATATTTACTTTTGTAATAATAATTTGATTCCAGCCCCAACTATCCTCGTACAAAACTTTAAACTTATTCAGAAACAATGTCAATTCGAACACCAGATTAAAAAAAAAAGACAAATGGGAAGGAAAAGAGACAAAAAAAAAATAAAAAAAAATGAAGGAACCGTATCCTAAGGAAACAAAAAAAATGTCTACTTGGAGCAAGCAACTGCTTCAATATCCGTCTGAGCACTTCTATACAATTCCAGCCTCTTTGCAATTGAAGTTCTTCGCTGCTGAACCGCAGGATCCTCATCCAACAATTTGCTCATCTGTTTTCAACACCAAACCATTTTAACATACTTACTCATAACAGACCATGTTCACATAAGACAACACATTCAAACCGATTCTTCGGAGTTAGGCATCGTTGTATCTGTTGAAAATCTAATGTGTCGGATTCCCATCTTTTTCAGAATCTTGTGGGAGAACTCGACCGATAAATAACCAGACTCCATGTCCACTTGTTACAGAGTTGCTTTCCTGCTCTCTTCTCTCATTTGATCCAATGAATCCATGGTTGCACCTGATACTTCTACTCTCAGTGTTGGATATTGCTTCAGTTCTTGTAGTCATGACGAAAGCACATAACCATGGTTCACAACTCATAAGTGTTGTTGTTGTTGTTGTTGGGTTTATGACTTTGAGCAGAGATATTCTTACAGATGTTTCGCCCATGGATTTGTGGATAAGATCCTTGCAAATGGAATGAACCGCATCAACTGCTGCTTCAGCAGGGCCTCTAATGGAGACTAAGCATGATTCTATTAGGCGGCGATAACCTTGTTCAGGAGCTATAAGATGAAGTTGATATCTTTCTGCTTCAGTGATCAGTTTCCGTACATTGTCCATAGAGAGATGTTTGTCGAATTGCAGTCTTTTAATGGCAGCTGGGAATTGATTGTCGAACACAGAATTTATCTTTTCACACCACCTGAACGTCTGTGGGGTTGTTATTGATAATCGTAAAGCCAGAAAATTGCATTAGCCACAATCCAGAAACATGCGGGTGACTTACGTGCCATCGAGGTGTTCTTTAAAAGTTTGATCAAAGGCCCGGCAAATTTCCATAATCTTATAAAGTTTTCCCTGCATTCAAGAGAATGAGTATTAACGAAGGAGGGATTTGAAATGAGAGAAGGAACCAAAGAATGAAAGGCGAAAAAGGTTCTTAAGACAAAAGATCCTTACACCAGCATCAGCTGCTACAAGCTTCCCAAGATGGCTTAGCTCTGTCTCTAACTCGGAAATAGTCTTTGTGATAAGAGACTGAAGTCCCGGGATTCTCGACTTGCTAACAACTTCCAAACGCTGAAAAGTTATAGATGGTTTTAGAGCAAATACCAAATCTTTTATGTTTAAAGCTTCATATATACACAGGCTGCTCAATTATATACCTTAGAGAGCATCTTTCCTAAATACTCTGAACCCCTTCTGTCAGTTCAGAGTATTCTGGGGAAGTCTGGAAGTAATCACGTTCAGGTCGACGAGCAGCTATCATATCAACACTTTTATTAATGTCAGCTTGAGACCGGTTTACAACACCAACCCAAGGATACCTTAATCTGTATCCCCTTCCTTCAAGTATCTAAAATCCCGAAACATTTAGAAGACTTAGGGACCGTTCAATATTCACTCACCACAATTTAGTGAGATTCTCAAATTTATCTTCATCGTGTCTTATCATAATGCAATTAGAGATAAGTTGTTACCTCTAAAGTCAGGCTATATGCTTTCCACAACCGTAGATCATACCGGAAAATATCATAAAGAACCTGCGTTGTGTGACAAATAAAGAAACAATCTGGTTATGTCGCTGTGATGCTTTAAAGTCGTGATAACGGTGGAAATCTAAAAGATTTTCACCTCAGACCGTTGTAAAAGAGTGGCAAGAACAACTATCCATTCTTCGAATTTGACAGAACACATCTGCGCCAATAGAAACTCTGCATCTAACCTGTTCTGTAGCTCACTCATTTGCAGCTGACAGATATCAATAGTTAGACTTCGACGTAAGATAAATTTAGTCAAAAATGCAGACTTTTACAATGCGATGGGATCTATGTTTTAGTTTTCACATTGTTTCAAGCTACAGAATGAGAATAAACGAGTTTTGAACATCAATGGAGTTGATTATTACCTTTTCCCCAATCAGTTCAAGTCCTGCAGCAAAATTTTGCAGCTGTGCACAACCATATCTTTCTCGTTGAAGAAAATCCTGGAATTTTGGTATTGTTAGTGAATGAATATATACTTATTGGGCCCAAGCATGAAAAGGTGAAAGGTACAAATTGTATACGTACCACAATATCAAACTGGGTGCCTTTGAAGAATGCAACAAGCTTTGAAAGTTCTTTACCAGACATCAAGTAACTGACATGACTTTCAAGTATGCTCTTAACAGAAGCAACATGAGGACTTTGCTCTTTGAAAGAAGAGCTGCTTCAGAGTCACGTTATACAAATAAAAATTGATCAGAAGGCAGTTGTATCACTCTAGAATATCAAAAATAGTAAACCCTCAAACTGATAAAAATTTCCACCTCTTATCGAGTGATGATTTCTTGTGGCTGGAGCAGAAAATAAGAAACCCGAGAAGCTTAGGTGATAATGAATCTGATTCTGTTGGCGCCTGCTCAATGTCTCTTCCAGATCTTAGTAAGAACCTCACCTAACAGCATAATTTTCATAGAAAAACATCATTACTCAGGATTCAAGCTTTGAATTGCCCATTTTAAACAAACAACAAGAACATCAAATACATACTAGCTCTCCAGCAAGATCATAGAGGGACTCATCAAGTGTCGCCTGCAAATATACAAATAAACTTTCTTAAGAACAGGAAGAACAAAATTGACAAGAAAGGACTCGAAAGATATAGATTCAACATGCGACAGCCGAAATTACCTGCAATAGCCGTAATGCACAGTACTGACTGACAGCAACACCTTCTAGTTTGGCAATCACCTGCACCATTTCTATACTTAGTGTACGATTCGAAACATAACCAAATAGATTTCTACAGTGTTCTATAATAGTAACTCCATGAGCTTTTTTGTCCCACAAAATTTTAATCAAATGAAGTCTGACACTCCTACTTGCCTAGTAACATATAGAAGACAGCGTTTTGTTGATACAAACATTATTTAACTAAACATACTCGAGGGTTAAGGACTTCTGAGTCTTACAAGTATATAGCAAGCTGCGGTTCGATACCATCTTCGCTGGAAGCAGTCCTCAAACAACCTAGAACCCAAAAGCGAATATCAAGTTTCGTAGCACAGAATACAGTTTAATCAACAAAAAGAGCAGACAAGGTTGGTGAAGTTTGCCATCTTAGCAATTGTTAATAGTTCAAGTGTCTGGTACAGTAAAACAAACCTAGTTATATAAACGTTACAAGAAACAAAGGCCAAACACAGACAGAGAAACATACGTTGTTGAAATCCCAGCAGCAGAAAATAAATCAGCCCAGTGACGGGCATCGGTTTTTCTGGCTACATTCACAACCACATCATAGTACTCCGGGAAATTCTTTATTAAATCACAGGCTTTTCTCAAAAGGGATAACTTTTTAAGATGCCCAGGTCCTGAAATCTGGTTCCTGTTTGGATTTGGCCTGAAATTTGTAAATGCCATACGTTCAGCACAAAAATCAAATCAGGTGAAGCAAGACAAGAAGGTTAAGTAAAAAAATACAATGAACAGAGATACTTTATAAAGATTGATAGCATTGGATACTTAGAAATCTCTGCATCAAAAACAGTAAAAAGAAGCCACTCCAGACAATGGAAAAAGTGAGGTTTCTCTGCCGATAATTGTGCTAAGAGTAACGCCTCTTCATTTTTATCTCTCTGTCCACAATATGAGAAAAACAGAATAAAGATTCTGAGAGAATAAAAATATTCTCAAGGGAGAAATGAATAAAAGAAGAAAGAAGAGATTCTTCTAACTTAAGAAAAGAAAAGCCAGGACCAACAATACCTGAAGGAGGTGGCGGAGCAGGCAATGTAGTATAGTCTGAGCCTGGGGTGTAGGCTCAAAACAAGGAAACTCTGCGCTAGCCGAAAATGACATTCTCTGAGAAACTCCGACAACGACACCCACATTTGGTAAAAGTCCCAAGGGATACACCTCACGATCAAATTCCAACTCTGGATCCAACTGAAGAATGGAACATAATAAAAATGCACAAACAATGATGTTACAGACAATAAAGATCAGAACAAAAAGACAAGCTACCAATGACGGTGAAAAAATGGACTCTACTAGCATGCATACCTGCAGGAAATCCTCTTGCATAAAGGGATCATCCCCTAGAGAAGGATACCAAACCTGTAATATAGAATCCCAGCGTTAAACAAATAAGGAAATTACGAAAGACAGCGATCAAATAGAGAGTTACTGTCAGACACTTGGGGCAGGGCAACCCTAGTAAAAAAAAGAAGAAGAAGAAGAAGAAGAAGAAAATTGGGCATAACAAGCAGCTTTGAAGAATTACCTGCATTCCTCGGTGCCCATAATCTAGCCAAGATACTTCCTCAACAAGATTTGTCTTCTCCTCTGATTGACCACATGTCACCCAAAACAGTTCAACTGAGTCTGTAAGTTCCCTCTCTCGTCCATCAACCAAATCAAGAAGTGAAAGCTCCCCATTTCCCCTCAGTATAAGACATCTATGGAGACCACAAAGGCAATTAGAATGACAGCGTAAACTGATACGATGTTCTACTCTATTGATGATTACCTTGAGGGTTCCCTGTCTGACAAATCAGAAGACAAATTATCATTATCCAACTCGCCTTCTCTCGGGTGCAGGTCAGGAACAAAGAACATTGCTGCTGGATGGCTCTTTGCAGTCATGATTGACAACTCTCTTACTGTGGAAAGCTGTTTGTCATTTAATCACTTTAAGGTGCATGAAAAGCAACTCAAGCGCTCACATTTGGAAGTTAAAAAGGTATAATTTACTGGAAATGATGCAGAGAAGAAATGAACCGGAATAACTAACTACCTGTAGATCTGCTTTGCTTGAAGGTGTCAATTCGCCATATATCTTCACATGGTAAACATGGATGACAAACGGAAGATAAGATACAAGTATATAATCCTGGTACACAATCCATCACCATTGGTTTGCCAAGCAGCACTTAACGACAAAGTAAAGAGCTCAGATCAAGGTGATATCTTGGATAGAAAAGCAGTTCATATCTGCAATAATTAGCGAACATACACGTGAAACTAAACAATATTCAAAGAAAAAGTGCTCAGAAACGTTTATCACAATAATGTTATGTAAAAAAGTCTGGAAGAGTTGCAAACACCATTCTACCAAAAGGCACTAAACATTAATAAATATAGCCAGTAAACCATGATTAGAAACTAATAATAGATAGGGCCTTACGTCTCAGAAGCTTCGATGTAGTTACAGATTACGACTATCTTCCCCAACCATAACAAACCCTTGCAATGAATCTGTTGTTCTTGACTGACATCTCCAAATACCCTCCACTTCTTAAACCTAACGTCATACAAAATCAGGCCATGTAAACCAGCAACCGCCAAGTATTTCCAATCCTCGCTAGCTGCCACATGTTGAACAGGCCAATTTTGGGTAATATAAGAAACCTGGACCAAGAAAACATATATAAGAAATTTATTTCAAAAGTGATACGATGAATGAACAAAAGGGGATAACGGATATGTTGATACTCAACTGGAAGTTTTAGATGTAAAAGCTTAAGCTCGTCAGTGTCCTCCGCCTGAACCATCAGTAGTCTATCATCACCATACATTACCTGACGAACATAAGTTTTTCCTGAAACTCCTCTATTTAAGCAACATTTCCCAAAAGAAAATGCAAGAATTCTATCACTTGATGCCTCCTCTGTAGCAAATAGTCTATATCCATATTCATCCCACTGGATGGCTGAAGTACCATTCATCAGTGGTTCGTATTTACTGTCTTGTTTTGGATTAATTTTAGGGGAAGATGTAGAACTCAATCCAATTTGGCGGACAGTTGACATCAATCGACATCCAGAAACAGACCAAACTGCAAGTCCTCTCGACTTCCACCCAACTGCAAAAGCAGAATTATCAGGCGTCCATGCAATGTTATTGACAGGCCCAGTGTAATCCGCTGAATAACTGCAAGTTTCAAAACAGCGTTATCAACCATGTACCCAAAATATCACGGGCGTGAAATAAACACAAGAAGTAAAATTGAAAATCTTGAATAGATCAGCTTAGTTAAACTGGAATAAACCATTCAGCATTGCCTACCGAAGGCGTATAAACTTCCAGATATAGTATAAGATTATGGTCTTTACACAACACCAGAATAAAACTACTCAGATATAGAGTAATACCCAAACCTTTCAAAACTAATATTAAAAAATAAACGTTCAACACAAAATAGTAACAAGTTACTTACCCCCAGTCATGCAAAGAAACTGTTCGTAAGAGAGAGATCGATTGTGACAGATCGTATAATTCCACCATCCCTTTTCTTGTACCCACAGCAAGAATTTGTTGCTCTGAAGCCACTGATGCACAAACAGCATCACCACCCAACTTCTTCTCAGCTTTAATGCTCTCAGTGTACTTTAAACCTTTCTTATTCACAGAGCATACTACTAGCTGCCCATCAGAATTTAACACAAACAATAACTTCGAGCGAGTGCAGAGTTCCAGCTGAACAATAGCCGATTTTGTTGAGAATTCATCATCAGATGCAAGTGCTGCTGAAGCTACTCCAGAGACTAGCCCATTACCAAGAGAGTAGGACAAGAGTCTATCATCGTTGCTATCAGAAGGGTGGGAGCCAATACTGAAAGCTCCACCAAACTACAAAGACAAACAAAAATTTAGAAATCAGGAATCTTGCACAAAGAATTCAAAAACCCCAAGAAGAAACTATGCAGATGAAGCAGATCTAAATTACCTCTCCTTTCCAGGAAATACTATATAAACATCCATCAGAAAGTCCCAAAAGCATAGTTTTGCTGTCCCTCACAAAATTGCTCCTGCACAGAGTGAAAGAATTGGCCTCACATTTCTAATCCCAGAACATTGACTGTGTAGACTCATACGGGCACGTACAGAAAAAGCACTTACACAGACAAGTCCTTCCCAGCAAAAGGGACCTGCTCACTTAGCAAAAGAGATATGGTCGCAAAAGACAACTCCGAGGGTTGTCTCTCTCCGGGTTTTACTCGTTTATCAGTAAACTTAATTTTATATATATGAAGGAAGAATGATGATGTCTGCAGATTAAAACCAAGAACAAAAAGAAAATGGTGAAAAGACATACAAGTGTGATAACAAAAACAGGTATCTTGATTAAACGATTCAAACAAGATACTAGTACTGAAATGAGAGGCGTAAGCTGAATGTTTGATATCATCAAGCTCTCAATATTAAAAACATGTTTTTTGCTCATTCTAACTACAATCTGGTGAAGATTCAAATAACTAGATTCTGTATACCAAATCAAGAAATTCTCAGCTAAGGAAGAAAGTAAGAACTTACAAGAAGAGCAATCAATTTGGAGTCTGGACTCCACACAGCTTGCAAATTCTCTCCTTCTTCTCGCACCGACCTGTCATCTCTCATATACTTTCCCAACCTCACTCGTTGCTAATTCCGGAAATTGAAATTCAAACAAAAAAGCTATAAGTTAACGAACTCTAGACTCCAATTACGAATCACAGTGACGAAATGCAGCTATGATGATAAAGCAAGCACCTGAGAAGAACCCCAAAGCTCCAAGTGAGACGGAGAAACAACCAGCAATAGCCGGCCGGCGAGCTTAAGGTACACGACTCGCTGAGAAGACGGACACGATCCTTCTAGAAGCGGGATCACCTGCGGCCATCCGTAAGCCATATACATCTTTGGCTATATCTCTTCTCCTCAAATGAAACTCTAATCCTCCTTGCCTATATCTCTCTATCTCTCTATCTCTACAATGGATCTGATTGATTCTGATGAGAAGAAATTACAGACTCTGTTCATATTACAGAGATCATTGAAACATTTTGTTGGAAAAAACAATTGGAAGAAGATGGATCTCGCAGATCCATACACGGAGCATCAAAATTTGGAATGCTGAAAAACCGACCGGTTTATAATGATCGGATTTTAATTTAATCGGTTTTTAAGTGTTGTACATGAAAACCGGATTTGTAAATGATGCCGTAAACAACTAAACATAATGGGCCAATGGGCCTCCTTTTTTTTCTTTTGACATGGCCTCCGGTGATGATATTCTCACGGTGGTTTCGCCATAATCCGGTCGATCATGTTTCAATCGATTTATAAACGATTTGGTAATTGAAACTAAAAATATCGATTTGGTAATTCAATACCATTAATTATTTTTCATCCTTTTAGGGTCTGACTGGTTTAAACGCAGCGGTTGCGGTTGCGGTTGCGGGAGTTTGCGGAAGCGGGCGGTTGCGGTTTCAAGCGTTACCAAGCGTTTTGAACGACTGGTTTAGCGTTTAAAAATGGATGCGTTTGCGGAAGTTTTATGACTGGTAAACCAGCGGGTGCAGTAGCAGTTAAATAAAAAATGACTAAAAAAATAAAAAATATTACAAAAAAAAAAGAAATAAAAACACCAATATATTATTATGATAATATTAGAAAAATTGAACATGCTTAATAATTAAAACCATAAATAAAGTACTAAATAATTATTCAAAAATAAAAAAAATTTATAATAAGATAGTACTTTATGATGGGTCGTTAACACCAAAAATTGTATCAAGTAATAGGACAAACTGTAAATAACGTTGAATTCAATCAAAAAGCAAGTAATTTTCTATTCGAGAAAACAAATCGAAACATATATTCAATCAAAAAGAAAAGTAATATATAATGAAAGAAAAAAATATTCAAATTGATTTTCATCAGTTTGGGTGGAAGACATTGAGAAAATAAGGTTTTAGAATATTGATTAGGGTTTCTGATGAGAACGTGATACAAAGATGAAAGATATATATAAGATTAATATATTTTATAATAATTATAAGTAAACGTTTGATTTTTTTTTTTTTTTTTTTTTTTTTTTTTTTTTTTTTTAAATCCAACTGCTACCGCCCGCAACCGCAAACGCTTGCGGGAAGGAGCTTTTGAAATTCAGCGATTTCGAGCGGTTTGAAGCGGTACGGAACGGTTTCTATGATTGGTACCAACCGCTAACAACCGCAACCGACCGCTAGCAACCGCTAGGAGGGTGCTAGCGGAAGAACCAATCAAGCCCTAGAATTGATATTTTTAAAAACCGGACGGCGAACCGTAAACATGTATTATTGAAGCTAATAAGTAATAACGAATTCATTAGACACTAATTAAAAACATGCTATATGATAAAATAAAATAAAAAAACATTCAAACATACTATGCCCCCATACTCTTTCACTTTTCTTAGTTTTATTTTTTGGTAATATAATTTCATTTGGCTAAAACTTAGAAATTGGAGAGATAAATATTTGTCACTAAACAAGAGACATATCTTGTCACTAACTAAACAAGAAGTGATAAAATTTTTTTTTTGTATTTATGAAAAGCAAAACCACATATGTGGGTTGATATATAGGGATTAGTGCAGAAACACTTGTTTTCACTTATCATAAACCCCAAAGATAAATAAAATAAAAATAATCAAATAAATGTTTGTATAAAAATAATCAGAAGAAGATGGTTCCATTCGCGAAGCTTGGGAGTCTTCGTGTGGCCGGGCAAAATGTAGTCTTCTCCTCTGCAAGTGATGCTCAAGATGGGAGGAACTTTACAGTCAAATTATACATTTTTGTACCATTTTTGTATCTCATATCACATCATCTTTAGGCTTGAGAAACATTCCCAAATTGGAAAAACATTTGGAAGTGGTCCACGTGACAAATATACAAATCCCAGACCCCTCCCAATGTAACAAGAGCGGCGGAGGACTTCCATACTCTTTTCTTTCGTTTCGTATACGTTATGGTGAAATTACTTTTCTACCCTCTCCTTTTTTGAGCTCTAAGCTTAAGACTTTTCCTGAATTGATCAATTGAGGTTTTTTTTTTAAAGAAATTAGTACAAACATTAGTAAAGATATAAGTTATCTTTTAGTTTGGTGGTTAATAGATAAAGGATACATATCTCTCCTATAGTCAGACATGTTTCATTTTAGGTTCCCTCTAAAACGTAAATGCAATTTAATTCACTTTTTAATGTATAAATTATCACAAGCTGCAATGGTCCCTTACTTCGCGACGAGGGAGATCTTCTCCAACCCCTAAGTCAGTTCTGAAGGTATGTAATCTTCTTTTGTTTTGTCTCTGTATCAAAGTTTCATACTTTCATGTTGTTTTATCAAAGCCATGAAGGCATGAGACAACATTGGTAGGGATCAGAGCCGTTCTGCACAAGTTAGACTATCTCAAACCCTTGGTTAGTTATTAAATTTGATATAAGCCCAAAAAAAAAAGATTCACCTAAAAAAATTTCGGCTAAGCTCTCTCCTTTCTTCAAGCTCTTTCCTTTCTTCAAGCTCTCTCCTTTCTTCTTCAAGCTCTCTCCGCTTATGTTCTTCTTCTCTTCATGGTTTTTTTTTTGCAAAGTTCTCACCTTTTAGCGTGCAAAGTTCTATGTGCAAAGTTCTCACCTTTTAGATGTTGTTTTTTTTTTTTTGAAACAGTGTTTTGGAGATGAGGAGATCATTTGGCCTACGTAGGCTCCTGATTTCCCAGGCTAATAAGATAAATGATGCTGCCTTGATAGAGTGCGACATGTAGTTTTTCTGGATTACTTGTACAAAGTTTGTACAAAAGCAAGCAGTTGAAGAACTTGAACATTTCAATCGAGAATATATGAGGATAGATTTATTTTCAAAGTCATTTAGAGAGTACGTGTTTATGTTGTACAATGAATGAATGAGAGATAACGAGATAAAAAAAAATGTAAATAGTCTATATTTTGTGTAGATTAGAAATTGTAAAGGTCACAAACTAATAGGTTGTCTTAGACTTCAAATGGTTGACACAAATTAAGAAGCTAGAAAAACATTCATCTATTTTTTTACCGTGTGAGATGAATAAGTTAGAAATATAATTTAATCCATTCAACTAAATTTTTCTAGAAAAATGAACAAACATAAAGATAAAGTATTCAACTCATTCATCTATTATTTTGTAAACGAATGAGTTGAATGATATATTTTTTTTTCAACTCATTTTTTTCTAATCATTCATCTACACACAATAATTTGTACCATTAGGATGTGATTAAATTCCATTAAGAGTTTTTTTTTTTTTTGTGTGATAAAAGTCCCATTAAGAGTGATGTAAACATTGTAACAAATTTCAAATAAATCGAAATTTGGAAATCTCGTACGTATTTAAACAAAGTCCCATTAGTTTTGTGGATTACTTGAATATAGAGTTTAAAGGTAATAACGCTTGAAATTTGTGGGGAAGTGTAAGGGTCTTTTGTCTTAAGCACTCTCTGGGGAAGTCTCGACGAGCAGCAATCATATCAACACTTATATTAATGTCAGCTTGAGACCAGTTTACAACATCAACCCAAGGATACCTTAATTTGTATCCCCTTCCTTCAAGTATCTGAAATCCCCAAACATTTAGAAGACTTAGGGACTGTTCAAATATTCACTCACCACAATGTAGTGAGATTCTCATATTTATCTTCGTCGTATCTTATCATGATGCAATTAGAGATAAGTTGTTTGCAAATTAGACGAACGATAGTCTTAACCCATGATATGTATTACTATCGTCTTAATGTAAAAACTCACATCAACAACATTAGTGCCTTGGTCCATGAGATCAATTTTTGTTAAACTCCAAAAGTCCAGTCTCCTGATAGCAGCAAGTAGCGACGAAGCAAACAATAAACAACATGAATCAATCAATTCAAACTACTATCAAGATATCTGCTTGCAGAGGATCATCTTCTTTGTTTATTACAGATGATAAGATTATCATCATCATAGAGAACCACTAGGCAGTTACCGTGCAACTCAATCATAGATACAATGCTCCGTAGAAATAAAACCACATTTACTATGTCCTAGTGGATTATATGTCACAAAAGAAAGCACATAGTGAATTTAGAATAGCAGTTGTATCAAACGTACAAGGAAGGAAGAATCTGGCACCTTTTGGATCAACTTCACGAGAGATCTTGATGGCATCAGATCCAGATTTGCAGAGGAAATAGCTAGTATGATGCAGTTGGGCTGTCAAAAGGTAACACACGCAACCTTTTGAGGACAGAAGCATCATCCTTGTGCAGTTGTATTCTCCTACACTCTTAATTTCTTTCAAATCATATTAATAATAGCTTTTTCTAGGGAGTGGCCGTTGTTAGGGATGTTTTTTATTCTCATGAAATCAAATTAACCAACAACGAATCGAGGAGATAGGCTGCTTTAGGCTCCCCTAAATGACAATCAATGTAAAAAGCAATCTTATGATCATTGAGTTAGGAAAAGAGAGTGTTAAGGTGAATCCTAATTTGCATTCGACCACAATTTATATAAATACATAAATATTTTTAAGTTCAAAACGATATTTGTACAAACATGATCACACAAACGCATTCTCCTCCTCCCCATAACCCTTTTTTCTTGTCTCACTTGGGTGTGAAAGCCTGTAAAGAAAAAAAATACAAAAGCTAGTCAAATAAACGAGTCAATGTTTTATGAACATTAATAAAGATAAGTTTTGATTCGGATCACACTTACAGCGAAGATTGTGGCGTGACCAGGATCAGCAAGATGTGCAAAAAGGTTATCAATAGGACCAGTGCCAGTGTAGATGTGTTGGAACCAAGCACCCATCACTGCCAACATAGCCAACCTTCCGTTCTTGATCTCCTTGGTCCTCAACTCCTTGAGCTTAGCCGGGCTACCGGATCCCCAACCCAACGGATCGAACCATAACCCACCCGGGTAACCAACGTCTGTGCCCGTCAGTTTGTTGTTTGGGAAGACTGGGTCAGTGTTGACGCTACCGGGCTTGATGATATCGGCCCATCTACGTCCTTCGGCCCATCCGATCAAGATGAGCTCAACGACGAAGAGTGTGGTTTTGTCCGTGAAATACTCTTGCTCTCCCGCCGTGTACCACGATGGAGTGTTGAGGATTCCAATCTTCGTTAGGAACTCCGGGATGAATATCCCGGCGGCTCCTAGCATCGCCCACCGGCAGTGGACTAGCTCTGCTTGTACGTTCCATTTTAGACTGTCGGGGTCCGATGCTGACATATGTATTCAATTTGTCAGAAAAATATGAAAATAGTCTGATTTTGGTTATAAATTTGGTCAAAACATATAAGAAAGAACAAAAAATACTCACAAAGACCAAGGGGATCAAATCCGAAGTCACCGGGGAGGCTACCGTCGAGCCACTCTGGAGGAGTGCTTCCCGGGAACCAGATCGGTCTATCTGGATCAGCTGCGACGGCGCGCACCGACGCATCTGGCCTGGACACAGCTGGAACAGTCAACTTCTTCTTCAGCCTCAGTTTCTTACCACCCAAGAAACTGCACATATATCATAAACCTAAAAATTTAGTCACAACTTCAATAACAACAACCATGAAAAAATTCATATTATTAGGGCAGATCGGGGTTTGGATCACAAAAAAAATAGTAGCACAACGTTTAATCTAAATGGATCATTATTTTTCTTACAACACATAAACACTCATTCTGATGTAATATTAGTATATATAAACAACTAGATTATAAATTCCGATCAATGGATCACTATCTTTGCGCTATGTAAACTAAACTAAGTTCAAGGATCTTAAGCTCATTCCTATATAGCAAATGATGGTAACTGATAAGAAGAGAGAAAAAGATGAGCTTACCTTGGAGAAGAAATGGCAGCGATGGCAGAAGAAGCACAAAGAGATGATGCCATTTTTCTCGACGTTGTTGACCTTCAAGACTCAGAGTGTGTTAGAAGAAGAACGAAGGAATGATGTGTAATCTATAAAAGCCCTCTGGTGACAAAATCAGATTCTGCTTATCTGATTATCTATACGGATAACGCAATGAGTTTCCTCATTGGTCAACTTATTGACACGTGGCAACTTCGTCCCACCACATCTGAGATTTTCTCTATTTGAGCATTTGTTAATTGAGTTTTTAAAAGAAGGAAATGTTAGCTTGTATTTCAAGTGATTGGGCCGATAAAGAATACGAAAGCCCATACTGTTTTGCGTTATCTATTTTTAGCTGAAATTTATGGGCCGTCAAGAAAATAAATAGCTATGGCTTTAAGTCTTTAACATTTGCGGTACCTCATCATTTTTATGTACCTTCTACAAATTTAATTGCAATTTTCCTATATCCAATTTCTAATAAAAACATGGAGTGGTACCAAGCAAAAGGAAACATGAAGTGGTACCATGTGACGTGTAGGAGAAAGACAAGACGACGAGATCTAATACTGTACACTCACAAGCAAAATGATTAAATATCTACAAGCATAGTTGTTATTATAGCGAATGATTGTATACGTTTATTTCTTTCTATCTCAAAACCACCCCTGCTTTATAGGAAACAAAAATTGTGAATCACATCTATAAAATCTTATGATTAGCAAACACTAAATAGCAATGTTTTATGTGACGTATAAATAATGGTAGTAAGATTCCTAAAGAGAGTAGGAATAGAAAACATAAGGATGGAGAATAAGCTAATTATATATCTTTATCGTAATATCAACAACAAAAGGTCCCTAATTAAGACCCTAACAGAGACCGATCGAATACATGAACTCCAATCTTTTTATTAGAAAAACAAAAATAGTGTAATAAAAAAAAATTGTGTTGTCGTGACTTTTTCAATATCATCTAAAATTTTATTCAATTACAAATGAAGTAATGATTGAACCTCTTATTCCACCGAAACATCATCTTAAATCTAAGATCAATATTGGATCAAATAGGGTTTAAAGTAGGGTATATATTAGATTAGGTTATGAAACAAACAAGAAACAGTCAATCAAGTATATTCGTATCGATGCATCATGGGACCAGAGAAAGAGATGGTGCGAGTAATCAAAAATTAAACAGTGACATGACAAAGAGAAGTGTGGGAGAGGTAGGAGATGAGATGATAGGCATAGAAGCAATAGGGCCATGTGGCTGTCTCGGCCTCATTATAACATTTCCAAATCAACACACCATTCTCCATACTTATTTCGTTCCTCTTATCGTTTTAGAGTTTTTTTTTTTTTTTTGGATCGATGGTAATTGACAAATTGCATGTTTTTTTGTCGTATAACATATATAAACATTGACTAGTTGAGCGTCATGAATTTTCTCATTGAAGTTTGGTTTGAATTCCGTGACATTGATTACAAAATTCTACTACAATACATGTATCATTATACCCCTATGCAATACCATCGTGTAAAACTTATAAAATAATTTATAAATGTATAGGTGTATTAATGTGTTATTATGGTACCAATACGTCTTGTCAAAATAACTTTAAATGATTTTGATTATAACAACAAAAATGATCTCAAACGTTGATATTTTTGTGAAAGTTGTAGTAGGCTGTAGGCTACAGTATATATATTTTCTTTTCTTTTTTTGTCAAAAGAAAATTTATTATATGTGTTTTCTATTTATAAGGTTTCAGAATTCAGCGTGTGATTCTAAATAAGGCCCATAACTTCATAAATATACCAAATACATCAATTTTATTATTTATCCCTGGTTATTTTGTGTGAGTCAACCAAAGAGTATGTTTTTTTTTTGGTGTAAAGAACCAAATATGTTAATACTTTTTTTTTTTTGACATCTTTGGATCGACAAGGCCCGATTCATAGCCAATCCCTATTACGCGGGGTAACGCGACTTAGTGGAGTCGAACTCCGGTGGAGAAGGCGGAGTCAAGTGGACTTAACCACTTGACTAAAGGCACATCCCCAACCAAATATGTTAATACTTAATATACTAAGTTTGAAAATATCATCGTAAGTAAGTTTTCACATCTTATGAAATTTGTTCACATGACTATAAGTATTAGATTATACGACCACTTGATTTAAAAATACGATTATAGATAACATAACATATATGTTCATTGCAAAAACGACATTTCTCCGATCATAGTTGAGCCATGAACCATTGCCGGTTGGTGGAAGGATCATTGCCACCGACGACTTGTCTCCTATATCTCTCTCCGGTCCACCACTGAGTTAAACAATAGACTTTTTCTTCTTTTATATAATTATTAATTATGTACATATATAATCTATCATTTTCGAAATTGAGGGGTATAGATAAGGTTGATTCCTCTTCTTTATTAATCATCTCTTTAAAGCCTCCTTGACCCACATACACCCTTCTCTCGTTTCCCTTTGCTTTCTTCATTTTTTAAAAACTTTTTATTTTGTAATGTTTTACTCAACCTAATGCCTTTTTCTTTTATATATCATCGAATATATAATTCTGTTAAATTTAATACCGATATATCAAAACATTTTGTTATCACTTTTCAAAACTAGAAGTAATCCAAAATTTTATAGTGTTGTCAAAATAAAAAACTATTCTAAACCGAAGTGCAAAATAAAGCATGGTTTAATTTTATATATATAACAAAGACAAAAGCAATGAACTAGTTTATAAATAAAGTAATTGATCTCTTTCATTTTTGATACATACACCTCAACTGATACCAACATAGAATCACAAAAGAAATATCTAAACTTGTTAAACAAAGAAAAGAACGTAATAGTTAGCTACTTAGCTCAGCATATGTAATTACAAAATAATTTTTAACGTGTAAATACATTTTGTTGTTTTCCTATAACCAGTATAAATGCTAATAGAGACAACGCATCAGACCTCTTTGACGTGTGATTCACGTAATGAAGCTCAGCCGTTTGATTTTACGTTACCACAAGATTAGTTAACGATCTTGATCAAATTACCCAATATTGTTCTTAAAGATCATGATAATTAGTGCTCTATTTTTTGTTTGTTCTTATTGAAAAAATGTCCTAATACCGAGAACGTAGCCTATTTATCTACTGCCTAGTGTAAATTTCACGTGTTAAATAACATTCAACGAATCCCAAAAACTAAAACAAAAAAATGCAATTCCATTTATAATAGTAATCAAAAAAAAAAACTAGGAGGAATTAAATCCTCCAATCCACATCAAAATCTCAAATCAACCGCACGTACCACGTGTGCTGATCGTCGTGCAACTTGCAGATGCTTTTATTCCCAAAAAAAAAATCAAGTTAATACTGTAGAGACGCACGTAGCCAATTAAAAAAAAAAGATCCAACAATGTTGGTGACAGAACCATATCTCACAGGCAATCTTTTCCCAATTCTACTCTTTTTTACCTCATTGGAACGTTCACATAACAAACGTCACAGTCAGTTAACTCTATCAAAATCAATCTTACACGACACGACGTCGTGTAGATGGATCTTGTACCTTCCCTTCATCTTCTTCCTCCTCCTTTGCTTTCTATAAATCAAACTTCTCATTACATTAAAAAAATCAACTTTTTCAAAAAAAAAAGAAAACCCAGAGCTCACTCACTCTCTCTCTTCTTTCCCTCTCTAAAAACCCTAACTTTCTCCATGGGCTTTCCCGTAGGTTACACAGAGGTTTTCTTACCGAAGCTTTTCGTACAAACACTTTCGATTCTTGGTTTCATCAGAACCATCGTCTTCTCTATCTTCCGCTTCTTGGGTCTCTCAGATTTTCTCGAAATGGATCAAACCTGGCCCGACTACACATCGTACCCGACCCGAATACCCGAAACCCGCTCACCCTTCTCCGCACTCCTAATCAGAGAGATCTTACCGGTTATCAAATTCGAAGAGTTAACGAATTCCGGCGAAGATCTACCGGAAAACTGCGCCGTTTGTTTATACGAATTCGAAGGAGAGCAAGAGATCCGGTGGCTGAGAAATTGCAGACATATATTTCACCGGAGCTGTCTTGACCGTTGGATGGATCATGATCAGAAGACGTGTCCACTTTGTAGAACACCGTTTGTTCCAGATGAGATGCAAGAAGAGTTTAATCAACGGCTATGGGCTGCTTCTGGTGTTCATGATTTTCACTGTCCCGTGACCGAATTATTATAGAAGAACCACGCTTTCTATCTTTTTTGTGTCCCTTGTGTTCTTTTTTTTGTTTTGACTTTTCACCCCTGTACTTTTGATTTTACTTTTTCCACCCCCTTACTGACAATTAGATTTGCCACGCTTTTATGTGTGTATATTTTGTACATATGAATGAGAGATGAGCAATAAACATGTACCGAAAACAGGAAAATAAAAAGCAGTTTAGTTACTTTGAAAGTTAAAAAAGAAAAATAATACTATTGAATTGAATGCTAAAAATATCCAAAAAAAAAAAACAAAATCAATACCATATTAAACTGAACAGTATAAAATTCAAGTCTTACATTTTTAATCCAATCAAGTGGTTTATTTGCAGATTGAAAGTTATGACCATAAATTGCCATTTACAGTAACTTATGCTGTTTTAGTTAGTTCTGAGAGTTATTAATGTATTTTAAACCGAGAGTAGTTAAGATCGTGTCAGAACTTGTCTCTGACCAGTGACCAGTGACCACATCTGTAAATTTTTGTTGGTAATTATGGTAATAAATATTTTAAAATACAGAGTCACCTTTTTATCTTTAGTTTTAACCAAAAGGATCTAAATTCAATGGATCATGGTAATGCGTAAAGGCAGAATCTGGTAACATGCTTGGTCTGCAGATCCATCAGTCAATTCAAACGTAATAATTCAATGAATTTATTTTACTTGAATAGAAATATACCAGAAATCCAAAAATCTTGAAAACCGAACATTTCTGATTTATTTAGTACTCCCTCCGTTTCAGTTTAGTTGTCGTTTTAAGATTTAAATTTTGTTTTATAATAGTTGTCGTTTTAGATTTTCAATGCAAATGTTTGGTAAAAATTCTAGTTTTATCCCTAATGTTTTAATGTTTTGGCCAATGAAATTTTTTATAATATATTAATAAAGGGTAAAACAGAAAATTTAATGCTTTTCTTAATTTGTGTGAAAAAACCTTAAACGACAACTAAAACGAAACGGAGGGAGTATAAACATAAAAATCTCAAGAAATAAATCAAAAATGAAAAACTGAAATTCTCGTCTTAATGTTCTGGAATACCTCTTTATCAGATGTTGTATGTTAGGAGATCTCGTAATCACTCTTTTACTTCTAAGGTTTCCTCCAAAATTCTATCATTGTATGTTCAATTATGTAGCATTTTTTTTACTGAAGGTGAGATTGTAATGCATTTTTTTTTACTGAAGGTGAGATTGTAATATGGTATAGAGAGAACAGAGAAGACATGCTTTCAATGTAGAGAAAGATAATTGAAGTGGGTAGGTTAAAAATGGGGGGCAAGTGGTATTTACTATTTGGGTAATGATTGAAAAGATGACCAATACAAATCACCATCATCTATATCATGTCCTGCTCTAGATTTTATGTCCTAGAGAATCTACTTTTATAATAGTCTATATAGACTATCTATCTATCAGTAAACAACAAAGCAATTTGAGTTGGTTTAGATTTTCGTAGACTCGTAGTCCACACACACACGTATACAAAACATTAAAATATAATATAGAAATACATGCTTTATAATGTATTTGTAAATTGTTATATATACTCCAGTTAGCAGCACAAGAACCTCCGAGAACATTGCTTGCAGTTGCACAATTAGAATGGGGAGGTGTGTAGTGGTTGGCTCCACCTCAAAGTCACATCATGAAATGGAAAATTGTTTGGCATCTGATTATCTGAATCGCATCCCCAAAAAAATCCGAACTTGGCTGGATGTGACTTGCAAGTTTGTAATATGCGTCAAGCATTCCTTTTTCTTTTGAAGTAGGAGCTCATGAACTTGAATTTCCAATGTCTTTTAGAGCAATTTTTTTAGATGAGTACGGATATTTTCTTTTGGATATCAATGTGAGATAGCTATAGATTTGCATTAGAGTTTAGTTGACTTGCTATTTTTAAGTTGAATACTCGTTTTTTTTTAAACATGGGTGTATATAGACAGATGAAAAGTAAAACTTCCATATTGTCTCTACCATAAACATGCATGTGTAATGTAAATAGCGTCTCAGGCATCACCAGCTTTCACTTCACCGAGCTGCAAAAATCACCAAATAAAGATAAGGACGATGAAGCAAGATTTCAATTCTCAAAGATCAAAAGTGAGCACAAAAGAAGGTTACTTGTATATGAAGGCAGCGATTCCCAGGAGTATGCATAAGAGGATGATGTCTATGCAGAAGTTGCGGCTGGATCTCAACTATTATCAAATAGAGAGCAATGAGGTTAACGATATTATAATGAGAATGGTTTCGATCTCGATCTCAGAGGAATGTGTGTGTTATATCACCTTTGTTACAGTATCCTTAAGCCTCACATTGGTGCTTTTCAGGTCAGTAGCTGCCTTGTCAATCTGAATGATATAATACCAAATGAAGAAATGGTAAACACAATCTTGTTAACGAAAAAATCATATCAAGGACAAGTGTGTAAGTTAAATAACCTTTGTATCTATTTCATCCATGAGTGGTTCTTGTCTATCAAGTTCCTGTAATGTAATGTACCAGTAAGAAGAGCACTACGACATGATTAATAAAGGTAACATCAATCGCACAAAAAAGATATCGGTATAGAGGTGGACCTCATTGATGTCCTGAGCCATATTCTTGAGTGTATCCAGTCCTTCAGCTATGTAATCCAATCCTTGATCCTGCTTACACAGTAGTTAGACTCTTGTTTTTAGAAATCGATCATTATAGACCTAATGATAAACCAAAAAAGCAACACACACACACACACACACACACACACACACACACACACACTTGCCTGTTTTATTCTTTTAATCTCATACTTTTGTTTAAACTGATCAGACTCTCCGGTTGGCTCGAAATATCCACTACCAATTCTGTGATCTGATACAAATGAGCAAGTCTTCATTAATCAACATACTAATCTTATAAAGCAGAGGTCACAAACTACAGAGAAACCAGTATATAATACCTGAGACATTAGTATCGAATCTGATATTCGAATACGATGTTGAAGCTTCCCAACCACCTACAAAAGGAGCAGAGGTTTCTGGTATGGCCTCAATCTTATCTCTCAATGACAAAACCAAATCATTCCTAACATCAAGCTCTTCCTTTGAAAGCCCTTTGACCTAAAAACAAGTCCTTTCTTACCATCACATGCAATAAAACCAACCTCTCACCAACATAGATTTTGATAAAAAATTAGGTCATTGAACAAAAAAAAAAAGAGAAAGACCTTTTTGAGAGCAAGTCTCTGAAGTTTTGGAATTCCTTCAAGCAATCGAGCTTTCGTTCTTCGAATCTCTGCGTTCATCGCCACAGCTTTCGCTTTGTTCGTCTCAGACGATAAATCCTCTGTTTTCTATAACGTTCCTCACAATTGTACAGTTATAAAAAAAACCAAACATACAGAGAAAAAAGCGAAATGGGGTTAATATGATCAAACCTGAAGAACAGTTTCGAGCGCAGATTCGACGGCGGAGTAAAGGCGGGAGAAAGCGTCGTCGCCGGAGACATTAGCTTCTCTCTGTTTATCGATATCATACTTTTCGTACTTCTTACAGATGGAATCAACCCTAGTGATCAAATCAACTACGCCCATCTTCGCCGCTTGACGCTAGGGTTTTGTTCGCCGGAGATTTTCCCGAAGCCTACTTCCGAAAGTTCTTGTTTTGAATATGATCAGAGCAGTTACAGGTATGACACGTGGGACTTCTACATAACAAAAGCACAGATGATTGTTTTGTGGCCGTTGGATTTGTTGCCACGAGGGCGTATCATGAAGATTATATTTTCCTTATAAAGTTGAAGATTATTTTCTTTATGAAGTCAAAAATGTTGATTTTCTTGTGTGTGTGATATTGGTCAAATACTCTCAGTCGTTGTGTGATATTATTAGTAGTCAATGCTTATAATAAAACGTTTTATTTCATCAAAAAAAGAGTAATGATTTTCCAATCTATATAGTACCTTTTTTTTTTGCTTCAAAATCTTGATTGTTTTCACTTCTAAATTGAAGTACTTAAAAAGGCTTATATGTTTGATATATCATCAATCAAAACTTTTCTTTGGAAAAAAGTGTATCTTGAACCAGGAAATGATTTTATTAATTGGATTTTCAATATCGAAGATCGACATACAGTAATTATTTTTCCAATATCACATTAACAATACAACAATATAAATACAAACATATTACTCTTACATCTTGTTTTTATAATCTTTTGCTCCCGAGATTTTTTTGGTAAAGAGTCAAGTCTTTCTTCATCAATCAACTGAAACCGGCTTCATCTCTTCTGCTTCTTTCCTCAGCTCATCAAACAGAACAGACGACAAATATCTCTCTCCGAAGCTCGCATGAATCGTCTGTTATAAAGACACAAAACGATTTCCTCCCTTACCAAATCAAACCACACAGATCAAAAAGAAAACACCAAAAATACTTTTTTCCTCTCTTACCACAATGAGTTTGCCTTTATTCTCTGGCATTTTCGCCAATCTAATTGCTGCCACGGTGTTAGCACCCGACGATATCCCGACCTACAAGTTGGTTTCCGTACTTAGAACCAGAAAACTAGAACCAGAAAACAAACTAACCATTTCTCTCTGCAAATCATCAAAACACTTACCATAAGACCTTCTTTCAATGCCAATTCTCTAGCCATCTTTATAGCATCCTCACTACTAACCTGTTAACGTATTCTCAAAACATAAGCTTTAAAAGTTGAGAACATTGAAAAGATGGAAGCTTTAGCCGTATACTTTACCTCAAGAACACTCTCCATAACATCCATATCCAAGATTTCTGGTTTGAATCCAACCCCATTGCCTGTGATAGCATGCGGACCTAACTCAAAGTTCAAAACTCTAAGATCAGCAACCGCAATGAGGATATACTAATAAAGTGTTAAAGATGCAAAATGTTCACCTGGTTTGCCACCGTTGAGTATGTTGCTTTCAGCAGGCTCCACTCCATATATCTACCATTTTTGCAAGACATTCATGATCAAAAGCAATCTCTTTTTCGATATTCACAAGATATCATCAGAACTTAAATCAATCACCTTAACATTGGGGTTTTTAGATTTAAGGTATTGGCCAACACCAGAGACTGTGCCTCCACTGCCAATTCCCATCACGAATATATCAACATTCCCAAGTGTATCTTCCCAAATCTCAGGACCAGTTGTATCAAAATGAATCTGCATTCCAAGCATCATCTCTAGATCAAATGAGAATGCACAATCAAAAAGAGATCTCTCTAACTCATAAGCATACCTGAGTGTTTGCTGGATTAGCAAACTGTTGACACATAAAAGCATCAGGAGTATTTTCAAGGAGGTCATAAGCTTTCTTAACAGTTCCACCCATTCCTTTAGCTGGATCAGTGAGGACAAGCTCTGCACCAAAGGATCTCATCGTCACTCTCCTCTCCAAGCTAGTGTATGAAGGCATTGTCATAATAATCCTGTACCCTTTCAGAGCAGCCATGAAAGCCAAACTAATTCCCATGTTTCCAGAAGTGGGTTCTATCAAGGTAGTCTGAAAAATAAAGCATCAATTCAATGGGTAAGAAACTCTTGATTCACCATTAATTTGAGAAAAGAAAAAAAAAGCTAATTACTTTTCCAGGGATGATTAGTTTTTTCTTCTCTGCATCTGCAATCATGGCTATAGCTGGTCTAAAGACAAACCAAATCGAACAAAATCAATACTTTCTACTAATGCTTATGAATGATTTGAAGATTAGGATTTCACAAAGAACCTGTCTTTGATGCTACATGTAGGCTGGAAATGTTCTTGCTTGGCTGCAATATACGCTTCACAACCTTCAGTGACTTTGTTGAGAAACACAAGAGGTGTTTTTCCAATAAGCTACAACGTAAATACAGACGAATTTGTTAATCGACATCAGAAGAAAGACGAGAAATTTGGTAAAACCCAGATCGCAGTTTTGAAGATACTAAAAAAAAACGGTTTTTTCTTTTTTCTTTCGTTACCAGAGATGCATCACGTTTGGCGTTAGTGGAGGGGAAGTCTTTGGGGAGATCTCTGAGTCTCTGAGCAAAAGAAGGAGATCCAACGGTGGAGAAGAGTTTCCTCACGGTGTGGCTGAAGCAGGGGATCGTCTCTTTCCTCAGTAACCTCCTTGAAACAGAGGCCATTGTTGTTGACTAAAACGGAGTAAACGAAGTTTGAAGAGTCAAGAGAGTGAATCAAAGTTTAGAGGAGGAGTGATAGGTGAGGTGGAGAAGAAAGCAATCATATAAATGGATGAGAAAACGAGACAAATACATTGCATCATCATCCATTAAGTGTATAATATTCCAAGTTGATTGTTGGAACTATATGAGAAAAGTAATTTTGAATTGGAGTAAGTGAAGGGTTCTTGTCAGAGTTCTATTGATACTCGTGGAATGATCAAATTTACAGTCAACTTCTTACACCTCTTTCTAGCAAATTTTTTAACTTTTTTTCTTATTCAGATAAATTAGCTATATCGGTCAAGGAATCTTCGTGCTTTGTTGAAAAGTATGTGACAAATGGGACCATTTTCATGGTGATTTTGGTGGCTGTGTCTCAATTCGATTAGGATTTAGGCGAGGTTGGTGACACTGACACGTTTAAAATACCATAACAATTACTGAACCGGACGAAAATTCCAACCTAACCGGTTAACCCAATTTCTGAACAGGGTGAATCTTCAAACCTAACTGGTTAACCGGTGATAGACCTAACGCATCTTAATGGGCTCGTTTAACAAAAAAAGTCCATGTTAAACATCTTTGATTGTAATTTTGTAATAAACAGATTAACAATTTGCAAATAAATCCCTTTTGGGAATTTCTTTCCTTGTTTACAAAGATTGCATTAAGTGGGCACATAGATAAACACATTTCACACATACATGTAGATCAACAATAGAAGCAACTAAGGACAAGAAACCAGGAGACTTGATGATGTCTTGTTTTAACTTAGCTTCTGGATTTGAAAGGGATGGCTCTGATGACAACCACATGGTAAAGAGCAGCAAGTGCAGCTCCAATGAAGGGTCCAACCCAAAACACCCACTGCAAAAGGGAAAAACGAAACTGTCAGAGATAAATTATCGGCAATTGGTATATAGTTTTTGGGAAACTCACGTGGTCGTCCCATGAATGGTCTTTGTTGTAGATGATTGCAGCTCCAAGACTTCTAGCTGGGTTGATGCCTGTGCCAGTGATTGGGATGGTTGCCAAGTGAACCAAGAAAACCGCAAACCCGATTGGGAGTGGTGCAAGAATCTGCAAAATTGTTACAAATCTTTAGTCGGTAAGCAACAAATTCAATGTGAAACCATGGGAATCAGTCTTTCCTTCACACTAATGGCTGCTTCAAGTTCACTCGTTTCAATTGTTTCTAGCAACTAAGTTACATGGACTAGTTACTAACGGGGACATGAGAGTCACACTAAGGCAGTTTAAAAGTTCACTCATTTCAATTGTTTCAAGAGGCTATAAGCAGCTATGTTACATGGAGTGGTAACTTACAGGGACATGAGAGTCACGAGCGTTTCTCTTGGCGTCAGTTGCTGAGAACACTGTGTATACAAGGACAAAAGTGCCAATAATCTCAGCTCCAAGACCACTTCCTTTGGTGTAACCATGAGCCACAGTGTTGGCTCCTCCTCCTAGAGCCTGGTATTGCTTAGGCTGGAACCCTTTGACCACGCCAGCACCACAGATGGCTCCCAAGCACTGCATCACTATGTAGTACAGAGCTCTGGTAAGCGACAGCTTCCGGGCTAAGAACAGACCAAAAGTAACCGCCGGGTTGATGTGTCCACCTGAGAGTTACATGAACAAATACATTCCAAGATTAAGCCAAGGATACAATTCAGATTAGAACACTACAAATTCCACAAAGATTGTAGGCTACAAATTTGTGGAATTTGTTCAAGATTCAAGATTTTGCGTGAATTTGTTCCACAATTTGTAGCTTTCTGAGATATCTCAAAGATTTCTTGAATCAGATCCAAATGGAACAAATTCTCGCAAAGAAGCTAAAACTAATCTCAATTTTCTCAAAGATTATAGCTTTCTCCACCCAAACACTCAGAAACCTAATTACAGTAAAAAAGGCGTATCCTTTTGGAGAAGGAGAGAAGTAGAGTGACTTACCGGAGATACCAGCGGTGCAGTAGACTAAGGCAAAGATCATACCACCGAAAGCCCAAGCGATTCCTTGGATTCCAACGGAAGCACACATATTGGGTGACCTTTTAACTCCCATAACAGTCAAAACAGTGATGTAGAGGAAGAGGAAAGTAGCGATGAACTCAGCGATCCCAGCTCTCCAAAAGGACCATGAAGAAAGCTCACCAGGCTCGAAAAACGGAGCCGGTGGTGGTTCATTGTAGTCCTTGTCGCTCTGAGCTGATGTTCCGATTGGTTGTCTCTCCGGGAACTTGTTAGCTCCAACTCTAACGTCTTCTTCTTTGCCTTCCATTATCTTTGACTCGATTCGATCTCTCTATAGAGAAATTAGAAAGCTTTGGTTTTGTTTTTTTTCTTCTTCTCTGAGTGTGGTGGATTTTAGAAAGTAGAGTGGTTATTTTTATAGTTGGAAGATAATGCATAGAAATGGAGAAATAAAATAAAAAGACGATGATGACAAATTGATAAGTACATCAAAATTTGTTAATGTTATCTTCATAGTAATCATGCTACTAAATAAATCTAATTATTGGATTGGGTCAGTGATAATTTAAGCGTTTGGACAGAGTTTTGAATGCTCCATTCCAGCTATTTTTCTAGTTTAACTAATGTTTTATAATCAAAACAGATCAATGTCTGTTTTTAATAATCCTTATGATTGTAACTAAATAATTGCTTAGTTACTAACTGCTACGAACAAAACACGATCCTCCAGTTGAGATGATCTGGCGTTTGCCAGCCAGGATAAGCACATCTGTACCATGCACCATGCACATACATTATGTACCATGACTGTGACATTCACCATAATGATTAATGAGTGTAGCACAGAGTTTGAAAATGAAGGGATGGTACTAATAATTTTGTTATTCTCTTCATGATCGTCTATCTTTTTTGTTTTCTTTTTCTTATGAGGATTGATAATTGTAATCGAACTAGTGAATACAATTCTTCTATCGACATAATAAAAAGCACTGGTTTATGCAAAGAATACTGATTTTTTTTCCTACCACAAAACATAATCCTAACTCTAGTTTTATCACTCTAAATATGTACTAATAACGAAAAAAACATTTTTAAAAATTGAGTGGTAGTATACTAAATTGCCAAATAGGAAAAGACAAGGTTAAAGAAAACAAACACAAAAAGCTTAGTGGTTGCTATATTGTTCTGGAATGAGCCATTGGGGCCCTACGCTCGTGTAGCATCATCCAAGGGCCATAATACCATCTATTTTTCAACTCCTTATAATCATTCTGACACTGTAATTAAGTAATTAACCATAAAAATCCACATTTACACGATTTGAGAACCTTAAGTCTTTAAATTATATTTTTATATGTACATTTAAACTGCAAAATAAAGACACTTAAAACCAAAATGTTGAAACATCAGCTAAAATCACTAGCCACTAAAAAAAGACCGACCCGTTAAGCCTCATGACATGAAAAGGAATGTGTGAAGTGTAATTTTGGGATTTTATGTTGGAGAGTGATTATTTAATAGCCGTCCAAAGCATCAACGATAAGATACGTGGAGTCATACCACATAATGCCGGCGCCTTACATATCCAAAACCGACCATTTATCTTATGACATATGTACTCGATCAATTTATTAGTTTTATTGTGGCTGCTATTCATGATTGCATTTGCCCCACCTAGCCACCCCCATTTGCGTCACGGCTCCATAAAAATAAGTTAAAATGTTACCCATTGACCAAACACAAAAACAAGCGAAATTACCTATGTCCTCCTAACATGAAACTCAAAAAACAAAAAAAAAAGTCACGTTTTTTTTTTAGCTTCAGCCACTAAATGGGCCGTACATATACGGGCTTAAGCTCACAACACTACTATTGATCGCAGGCCTGGTTATTTCTCAAAACAAACATCCTTAACAAAATAGCGAAGAATAAATTAAATACAGAAAACAAAAAAAAAGAAAGTCAAAACCGCTCTTGAGCCTCATTAACCACTTGGAGTGTGGAAGCATGAGCAATCACGGCTCCTACACGTGGCTCTAACCACTTCATTCGCTTTCGGTCTGCTCTGCCGAGGCTAGCCGTTCTCCTCCGCCAGATTCAAATATTTCCTCCGCCGTCCTCCGGCTCACGAGCTTAATTAATCGACCATTTTTACCGTACTTTAGAACCTTGGCCATATATGTCAATGGAGAAGCGAGTCAAATACAAGAGCTCTGTGAAGGATCGAGGAACGCTTGGATCCCTCAAAATAGTGAGAATACTTTTAAGTCTTTGGTACGATATGATTTCTATTTTTGTGCTAAACGGATCTTCCAATTTTTGTTGGCAGAGTGAAGTGATGTTGCTTTTTGTCCCAAATGATCCTAAATCAGATTTGAAGCTTAAAGTTCAGACTCACAACATCAAAAGTAAGTGTTTAATTTCCCTTATTGGTCATGACTACTTTCTCTATATGATTATTGGATTTGAGATGTTGTGTGCCATGTGAAATTTCTCAGGTCAGAAATATACCAAACAAGGATCAAATAAACCTCCTTGGCTCAATCTGACCAATAAGCAGGTTTTTTTTTCTTGGCCCTTTCTGCTCAAGGCTAAAAAAGAGTATTGGTATGTGAATTTTGAAGCTATAATTTAATTAGAATTATTATGGTGTTTTCCTTTTTAAAAATAGGATTAAGGTTTTGTTAATTTCCTTTTAAAAGTAGCAATAGGTCGGCTTGTAAGGATCTATATAATGGTTTCTTATGATCAATAAGAAACCAACTTCCAAGAATTAACCAGAGTTTAGGGTTAAGAGGAAGCTAGCTTTAAATCTCTTTGTTCTTTAGCTTAAGCTATTCAATTCTCTAAATCACCACGGCACCTGTTACTAGAAACACGTCAAAGGCTTTGGCTCATATCAGTATCAGTGAAGTTTCCTCGTCTTTGATTATAGGGAAGGAGTCATATCTTTGAGTTTGAAAATTATCCCGACATGCATGCTTGTCGAGATTTCATCAGTAAGCTCTGTGTGCCATGATTTGGTTTTATTGATTCGTAAGTATTTTTCTGTTGTTTCTTTCGTGGTGTTGTTGCTGTAACCATTTGTACTATGAACAGCTAAGGCCCTTGCTAAATGTGATGAGGAGTCTAATAAATCAGTTGTCTCTACACCTTCTGAGCAACTTAGTATGGCAGAATTTGAGCTACGCTTCAAGCTTCTTCGAGAAAATAGGTATGTAATCGGAACATTTAATTGCTTTCTTTTGGCTTAAAAAAGTTTCTGATATTATGAGATGAAGTGAGTTGCAGAAATTGCATAAGCAATTTGTGGAAAGTAAAGTCCTGACGGAAGACGAATTCTGGTCTACAAGGAAGGTTGGTTCTTTGTGTGTTTCCTTGATGTTTCAGTTTTTCGGTTCTCTTGAGTGTCGTAATAGTTACCAACTGTGTTCTGATCGCAGAAATTACTTGGTAAATATTCCATTAGAAAGTCAAAACAACAGATGGGGCTTAAAAGCATGATGGTTTCAGGCATCAAACCATCTTCTGATGGGCGGGTATATGAGCATACTCTGATACATTCGGCTAGTTTAACCATCTAGTACAGTCATTTTCTGATATATATCATATGACATTTCATCTGGTTTAACCGCTCTTCGATTTTTTTTCTTTCAGACTAATCGGGTGACGTTTACCTTAACGTCTGAGATAATTTTTCAGGTGAGCTATATGGTTCACTATTTTTGTCATTGATGTAAGGGCTATATATGTTTCTGAATTTGAATCCAAGCGAGATCCTCCAGGGTCGGGATAAGTTTATATGGTCAATGGGGTTGACGTTGCAATTGGTGATATATTGGGTCATAAACTCATTACTAGATGTTCAGGTTGCATCATGTGCTTGAACTTACCAAGTCCAGTGGGAAATTATAATTGAGGAGTAGAAACATTTATAACCCTCTTTCTTCAGTTCACCTTCTATTTTGTAATTTGTAACAAGAATAAGTAAATGTTGCTTTATTCATGCTACTGTCCTTTTCTCACATATGATTTCTTCATTATGCTTTCAGATTTTTGCTGAGAAGCCGGCTGTTCGGCAGGCATTCATAGATTATGTTCCGAAAAAGGTAACAAAGACTTCAACACTATGACCATCTTTCTTTATTGGTTTAATCATCAAATACAATGAATCATGACTGCCTTTGGTAGTTATTTTTCTTCGCCAGATGACAGAAAAGGACTTCTGGACAAAATATTTTAGAGCAGAATATCTTTACAGCACAAAAAATACAGCAGAAGCTGCTGAGGATGAGGAACTCGCTGTCTTTCTGAAGCCTGACGAGATATTGGCTCGGGAAGCTCGTCAAAAGGTTATTTTTTGTTCATGGTTAATTATTTCCATGTCATGTATAAAAGATAATAATTGGGGTATAACCATTAGTTTTAAATGTCATGTTTGTAGATGAGACGGGTTGATCCAACTCTTGACATGGACGCTGACCAGGGAGATGACTACACTCATCTTATGGTAAGCCAACTATCAATTCATTCCGCATCTAGGGTTGTTGAAACGAGAATGTCAAGTTAACAGTGTACAGATTCACACAAATAAAATAGATCTCTCATCGGCTTTTCTGGTGTTGGTATTTACATATAGTCTGTTGACAAAAAAAAAAGTCTCACCCTAGAAGTAGTACTAGTATGGGAAGCATTGGGCTCCATAAATAATTGTAATACTGACGGTGATAAGCATCAAACTTGTAACAATGTGTCAAATGTTTTGTTTTCTAGAATGCTCATCAATCCTTTTATAAGTTGTTCAATCAAGAAAATTTATTTTCTCACAAATGTAAATTATGGACTCTGCAAATATGTTTGAATTATGTGATCTATTTTCTGCTTTAGAAATTGGATTTCAGTTAGTAATTTATCTCCCACGAGGACCATTGCTTTATATAATAGCTTAATACTAATATCCAGAAAACGGTGATCTTAAAACTTACATTGTGCTCTTTCTACATGGTTGAAAGCTTATTTACATTCTGCGGGATCATATCTTCATATATTGTGCTTAGTTAAATTTCCTGTCACACAGGACCATGGGATCCAGCGCGATGGCACCAATGACGCTGTTGAACCACAGAATGACCAGCATAGGAGGTCACTTTTACAAGATCTTAATCGCCATGCTGCTGTTGTATTGGAAGGAAGATGCATCGGTAAAAACTCTGACTATTTCATCTGGTGTTTTGTGTAACAGTATAAGAAATAACCATCAAATGACTTCCCAACAGATAGTTCATGAGTGATAAACATGTATTTTGGCCCTTTGCCTTTAGTTCTTGGTAGTAAAGTATACAATGATACTCACTTATTCTTTTATACTGGAAAGTAGATGTTGAGTCAGAAGAGACGAGGATTGTTGCAGAGGCTCTCACACGGGCGAAACAAGGTTCATACTGATATGCTCTACTTTTTTTTTCTTCTTTTTTCTATGCTGATCAATGGCCAATGCTGCACTTCATATTCATCTGACCTAGGTATCCATGTCTATTACCCCTGGTAGTAAGCAAAGCTAACCAGGAGAGGTTGGAGAGAATGTCCCGTGCAGCAGAGATGGAGGATCTTCAAGCACCACAAAACTTCCCACTAGCCCCCCTCTCTATCAAGGTTTGGCTTTCTGTCATTAAAAGAGTTACACTGTTGATGATGATACATGGTGCGTAAATCCTCTTACCCTCTCTTGTTTGGGATCAGGACCCTCGTGATTACTTTGAATCTCAACAAGGAAACGTCCTCAGTGAACCCAGAGGAGCAAGGGCATCAAAGAGAAATGTATATGAAGCTTATGGATTACTAAAAGAATCCATTTTGGAGATTAGAATGACGGGATTAAGTGATCCGTTGGTTAAACCTGAAGTTTCCTTTGAGGTGCTAATCTATCTCATTACAAAATGCATACTGGCTAAAGAAACCATGGCTGATTGCTTTGATGCCTGAGCTAAATATTGCTAAACCCTATCCAGGTTTTCAGTTCGTTGACCCGAACTATCTCAACTGCCAAAAATATTATCGGGAAGAACCCACGGGAGAGCTTTCTGGACAGATTACCAAAGTCCACTAAGGATGAAGTTATACATGTAAGTCTGATATCCTCTGATATCTTAAGTAATAAGCAGCTCAATATATACTGATTACTGTAATTTGGTTAATAATGCCTATGGATTCTGTTGTCCCCTCAAATGCATCGTGAGAGTACTTTTTCCTTTTTTTTCTTTCATATACAGCACTGGACATCAATACAGGAATTACTGAGACATTTTTGGTCATCTTACCCGATAACAACAACATATCTTAATACCAAGGTAATGTTGTTGCCACTTGCCACTTCACATTCTTCCAATCCTCGAGTTTGCTATATACATAGATTCTTCAGGAACCATTGAAATTTATTTACACCGAGAGCAACTTCTTATACTAGGATGTTATATTTAATCATGCAGGTTGCTAAACTGAAGGATGCAATGTCCAATACTTATTCACTACTCGATGTAAGCTATTAAATTCTTCTTCCAATTTTTTTCTGTCTAAGCAACTCCGAGTAATCCGTTAGAAAAGTAGTTCATTATATCTTCATACCAATTCATTTACACAAACATGAAATTTGGGTAAAGTAAATTGGTGCAGAGTTGTAGTCGAAACTTAACCGCATATGGTCTAATGTGTATGGTTTCCTTAATATTAAACCGCATGTAAATCAGGCAATGAAACAGTCGGTGCAGTCTGATCTCCGGCATCAGGTTTCGTTACTAGTTCGTTCAATGCAACAGGTTAGCTTCCTTCCAAGCCATACATCATGTCTAGGTTAAGTCTTACCTTTTTCCACTCACATTGTATCTATCCAATTTTAACCAGCCAAACCAAACATTGCGTTGTAATCCGGTTTATGAATTGAAATCTGAGTGATATTAACCCGTTTTCTCCACCAGGCTCTTGATGCTGCGTTCCAACACTACGAATCGGACTTGCAGAGAAGAACCGCTAAGATTGCATAAAGAACGTTTTGTACTTGGAAAGAACAAAGAGCTTTTATTTGCCAAATAATTAACCATTGGACTAAACATTTAAATTTTGTAGTGATAAGATTCTCAAAGAACTTGATTGAGAAGCATTAGTGGGGTTTGGTTAAGAATGTTGCTTGAGCTATAAGGAACCTCTCTGTACCCTAATTGTGTTTGTTTTTTTTTTTTTTTTTTTTTGCGAAGCAGTATATAGTCACTGAACCTGTCATTAAAAACTCATAATAGCATTGGTTATGGGTTTAAACAAAACATAAATCGATGATGCTAAGCAATATTCTGAGCTTCAGCTTTGGTCAATAGGATTTCTCCAGCTGATAGGCTTGTCCAAAGCCATAGTGAGCTTGCAATGGTTGGTAGAACCTCTGATACGTTTTGATGCTGTGCTAAGAGAACATTGTAGTTTGCCGATTTCATATCACGAAGAATCTCGATGATGGAATCTTTTTGTGAGATGTCTCCCATAATTAACATCACATTTGATGGTGCACATTTGTCAACCGCCCCAAAATAAAGGTCTACTAATATTTGGTTAACTCTACCATCTCCATTTTCTGAAACCATATATCATCAAGGAAGAGATCAAGATACATAGACATAATTGTAAAAGAGAAAAGAATGTTATAGAGTTTAAAGGAATTCAATTCACCTGCTGAAAAGTGTTTCAACTTAATTTCGGAGGAGGTTAAGTCATCTTTGGATTCACCATAAGCCTTGATTTCGAAGCTACCATGATAACCCTTATTCACAAGGGACTTTATAATGTTCTGCCAAACCTCACCAGCATTGAGACCATCAGGGATCTCGCAATCCTCCATGTCCCAGAAGACCACTGTCTTGGCAGCGGTGTATATGCTGTTGTAGGCAGACATAAGTTTGGTAAGAGCGTTTATGTTTGTAATGGGAAGAAATTGGATATACATATGTGCTAAATGCAAGATGGAAGTGTAGATGGCTAGATGCAGTATATCACATATCCTAAAAAATAAATTAAATACAAGAAAAAAAAATGAAAAGACAAAAAAAGAAAGTCAAGACAGCGATTGAGCCAGCACAGACAGGTTCACAGAATTAGCCATCTAGAAGAGCCTCACCGACTTCATCAACCACCAACGAACCCTAAGATTCTATTTTCACCATCTCGAGCCATGAGCCATCACGGCTCGTACACGTGGCAATAACCCACTCCATTCTCTCTCTCTCTTTTTTTTTTGCGCGAGAAAAACTTAATTATTAAAAAAAAATCTCAAAATATTATTAAGCCCTTCTTTCTCTCTCTTATCCGCTCCTCTCTCTCTCTTTGGTCTGTTTCTGCCGCCGCCGTCGCCGTTATCCTCCGCCAGATTCAAATCTTCCCTCCGCCGTCGACACTCATTGCTTCTCCATCCGGTCGTTAGGTATGTTACGCTTGTATTCTTCTTATCTATTGCTTTCTCATCGTGATTCTCCATTTTATGTATCTCTCTATGCCGTCTTCTGCTTGTTCGATTGTATCGTTTGTTCATTTGAATGTTGTCTCTTTCTCTCTCGCTGTTGTTATTCACTCTATTCCTCTTTTAATTTCACTCTCCATTGTTTCAATTGAAGTTTTGGCACCTCTGTTTTTTGTTTCTTATTTGGTATTTTAGCACCTCTCAATTCATTTTTGGGCTTAGGGTTTTACGAATTCATGGTTGAGGTGCCTCTTCACATTCAAAAGAGACTTACTTTTCCATCGAGAAGAGAAAAAGTTGAATCCGAATCCTTGAACTGAAATTACTAATCTAGGCTCGTGGTTTGTGTGGACCTAGTGAATGCATTTTGATTACATGCCAGATTCAATCTTGAGCTTTCTGAGTGATTAGCATGTTTACAAAGTTTAATTTTCCATTTATGATCATATCTCTTTCTTCTTTTTGACCAGTTTAGTGTTAAGTTTCCGGAAATTGCTTGAGATTGATGTCTCAATGCTCATAGACCTGAACTGTTGCCACTTGTGTGCAGTATTGGGAAACTTGCAGATCCAAGAAAAATATAACTACTTTTTATAGTGGGGACTGTCCTATTTATTGGAGCTTGACAGTGTAATAAGATATTATCTCAACGAGCGTTATACCCGAAGACTGGGTCTACAAATCAATGTCAGAAGGTGAAATGGCCATCATTAAACCAGAGGTGAGCTTTGATACTTTAACTATAGTGATAATAGCTTACTAACTCACATTGATATGGCAACAAGGACCTATGTTAGCTATCATATAGAGTGAGGGTTATATCGTTAGATATTTTGCTCAAATGCACTAGCAAGATTAGATTTTGGATACATAACAAGTTAGCAACCTATCATTTGCGTCAATGTTTTCTATTTGTTGTGATTAATTAGTCTCTAGTTCTTATCATATGCGTTTACATGACCTACTTGTTACATCATAGATTCTTGTCATACTAATAGTGTTTTATTTTAAAGTGTTAATTGTCTTTATCGTTGTATGGAGTTTTTGAATGACTATTTGAATTTTTGCCTTGCACCAAGACTAATTACTTTTTATGTGGCATCAACACAGATGATGAAATCCTATATATGGCTTGAAACTGCTGATGGCTCAATCCAACAAGTGGAACAAGAGGTTGCAATGTTCTGTCCCATGATATGTCAAGAAGTAATACAGAAGGGTGTTGGATCTTCTAAGAACTATGCAATATCTCTTCCACAGCGAGTCAATCCAGCCATGTTAAGTCTGATTTTTGATTACTGCAGATTTCATCAAGTACCTGGACGTTCAAATAAGGTTTGCTTGAGGTTATTTAATTTGAAACAAATGCTGACATGTCGATAATCGTATGCTTTTTTTCATAGAGCTCTTTATTACTTTTTAGGAACGTAAAATTTATGATGAAAAATTCATTCGGATGGATACAAAGAGGCTCTGTGAGTTAACCTCAGCCGCTGACAGTTTGCAGTTAAAGCCGTTGGTTGATCTTACTAGTCGTGCCCTTGCACGAATTATTGAGGGGAAAACCCCTGAGGAGATACGCGAAATATTTCATTTGCCTGATGACCTTACTGAGGTATGTGGTGCCCAAGATCATCTCTTTTTAGGAGGTGTCATTCCCATCTGCTTCTCTTTTAGCTATTGTTATGATTTATCAGGAGGAGAAATTAGAGCCTCTGAAGAACACAATGGATGATCCACGGATTCGATTGTTGAATAGATTGTATGCAAAGAAAAGAAAGGAATTGAAAGAAAGAGAGAAACTAAAGGTATGTTGAGCATTTTACTTAATATTAAGGTAGGAATTGGTTTGTAAGGGTGAGCTATTGCGCTAGTTTTATATTTTATGGCTATTTCCATGTCCTAGAGTATCGAGGTTGAAGAACATGTCGATGAGCGGTCTGTGGATGACCTATTATCATTTATTAATGGCAGAGGTACTTTTCTTTGAACTTAATTCTATTTTCTTAACTTTCTGCTCCGAATTTTCCAATTCCATGTTGATGGCACCACATATCGGTTCATGTCTGGAGTCTATTTTGATGCTTACGTTCAACTATGTAAATTTTGTAAGACTCATTTCGAGTTGCTGAGTGAGTGCCTGATATGAGATTCTCACTTTCTTGTGCTGGAAATCTCTTGGGCTATATATTGGTCATTTTCCATATCAGTATACTTCTTGCGTTGGGATTTATGGCTGAGTTAATAGTTTATTTGGTACCCAAATCCTGGTTGATATCTTGGGTGTCCTTGATTTAGATATTTGATGCTTGAGTTTATGTTAGCATTGCTTTTTGGTCTTCTCTTTTCTACTTCCTTTTAAAGCTCTCATTGGTGAGAAGGATAATTATGTTTCACAGATCCCAAGGTAGTAAAGACTTCTAAGAGCAAAAAGAAGAACAAGAAAAGGAAGGAGCATAAAAATGGTACTTCAAATGGAACATGTGAAGCTTCGGAAAAGGTTTAAACTAATTTCTCTCTGATTGCTTCTGGTTGATAGTAATCAAGTTACTGAGTGCTTTCCTTCTTCTTAGGATTCGCATAATCTTCATTCCAAATCACAAAGTGCTGAGATTATTGACAAGACTGCGTCCTGCTTGGGAGATGTATCTAACTTACTTAGTATGGAAGATGACATTTTTACGCCAAAAACTGAGTTTGAAGATGGTTATATAGATGATGAAATTGATCCAGCTTTGAAGGAAATGCTTGATAGGTAAGTGGCTCTTTTTAATTCAAACTCCTGCCTGAAGTATTCGTTTTGGGCTGAAATAATTGATAGCAGTCCCTCCTCCAAATATACCTTCTAGTAATATCATGTGACTATTTATGCACTTGAAGTCCTATATGTAGATCTATCGAATTGTGCAGCCATTAAGTGAAACTAAATAAGATTATTGAACCTTATGTTAATACAGAGAGGTAGAGGATTTTGCTCGGAGATTGAACTCTAGTTGGGTTCTATCGATAGGACAAGAAAGGCAGCCTGTGCACTTTTCCATAAATGGCAACGGGACTACAAGGCGATTGACAGGTACATGCTATCCCTTTTACCTGAATAATCTTTACATTAATGGGAACAGTGTAGCAAAAGGTGCTGTTGAACTGAACCACTTATCGGCTTTAGACCTTTAAATACGCCACACTTTTAGTCTTCAACATAGCTTTAGATGACTGATGGTAGATGGTCTGGTTTGCGTACGCTTTGAACTTTGAAGGTCCAGCTGCAGGACACAAGTGAAGCTGAAAACGCTAGCCCAATGGCTGGAACAGTTTTGGTGAGATCCCCACTAGAATGTAAGCAATTAGAGAGAGTGGTGTTCCGGTCACCGGCGTTTGATGTGTGTCCTCCTGTAATTTTTTTTTTCTTTCCACAATCTGCTTTCTCTCTTTCTTCTCAGTTAATTCGAGAGGTAGGATGCAGTTTTGTTTTGTTTTTTCTTACTCCTTTTTAGTGATCAACCCTTTGTATACAACTTTTAATTAAAGAACTGGTAAAAGCATTTAGTTGGTGGGCTCATTTGTTGGTTTATCTTTCTGTTTTGTTCTTAAATTCATGAATAATATGAAGAAGATGATTCCATTGTCTTTAGCATTACAAGCCTCATTAGATTTTCTTTAGCATTACAAGCCTCACAAGATGAGAAGGAGAGAGGTCTTCTCAAAGCAGCTTCTCAT